TAAAAAGATTTTCCTAATGAAAAAATTTGATATCTCCAATATTTAAGGTTGTGTATATGTATAAATCGATTTATGTGAATCGGGCTTAATTCTAAAAAAATTATCGGATCAAAAAAAGTTTTATACAAAAGTTGTTCTACATTAAATTCTAAAATGATTTTGTTAATAAAAAAAATTGATATCACCAATATTTAAGGTTGTGTATATGTATAAATCGATTTATGTGAATCGAGCTTAATTCTAAAAAAATTATCGGATCGAAAAAAGTTTTATACAAAAGTTGTTCTACATTGAATTCTAAAATGATTTTGTTAATAAAAGAAAATGATATCACCAATGAATCCGGCATAAGTATAAAAAATTATTGGATCAAAAAAAGTTTTATACAAAAGTTGTTCTAAATTAAATTTTAAAAAGATTTTCCTAATGAAAAAATTTGATATCTCCAATANTCTAAGTATCACTACTTGCCATATTCAGCAAATACTATTTTTATTTTTGTTTGTTCTGTTGGGTCATTTGGCAGAGATCGCTTGTGCGATAAAATGATCCATTTGCTGATACTGTTTAAGTTAAGTGTATCTTATGTAATTTTGTATTTTTGTCTGTGGCAATAAATGATAAATAAATAATTTCAGGCAGTTGTTCGGGAACCACTCCTTTGACTGAGTTGAAGCAGCGGAGGACTTTAAAGGTGGTAATTGCTGATCAGAATCTTTTATTAATACAGAAGTATCATCTGCGGAAATACACATATCCTCACGGACATTAAACGGTAAATCATTAATGTATATTACGAATAATAAAGCACCCAGTATTGAACCCTGTGGTGCGCACTTATTAGTTTAGATGTCCCAGACGTATTATTTTCCCAAAAAACATATTGCTGCCTACCCACAAGATATGAGCTAAGGAGATTTAGTTCTTGGCCTCTTATACCATAAAAGTATAATTTTCTCCTTCCTATAATCCATTATTGCCGTAATATTTTACCTACCACTACGATAACCATGCTGCCTGTTGTTTAGAAGGTCAAAGCGATCTAGCTAACTTTTTAGCTATTAATTTTTCAAAAATCTTCGAGACTATGGGCAGAATAGATATTGGTCTATAGTTTTCGCATTCGTTTATATCTCCTTTTTATGCAATAGCAGCACCTTTGCGATTTTCATATCTTCCGGAAAAATTCCTTGCATGTAGTATACATTCCTGCATACTACAAAAACTTTTAGAACAAAAGTTGTAGCAAATTTTATTTTTAACAATTTTGCATCACTTTTGCTCTCAGATGCACAAATATTGAAAAAAGTAAGAAAATTTGCCGAGTTTTACAACTTGTTAATGTATTCATCGGATTCTGTGCAGAAAATCGAAACAGTTAAAAATTGTAATAAAACACAAGATTGTATGTTAGTTAATATAATAATTTAATATTTGAAACAATAAATATATAAAATGCAAAATATTGATTATGCTCATTATTTTCGAATTAATCCTCAGTCTCGTTGAGTCTGTTCCATCTACACTCACGATAGTGTTCCGGAGAGAATCCCCAATCAATTTTTCTAGTTTTTATAATATTGGCATATGTTACCGAAGATAATTTAGGTTTCCTAGGCCTTTCTGGGTTGGTAAAATCTACTCTGTAAAGACCGTACTTTTCACTGAAATAATAACGAATAAATCTTTAAGTAATCTAATTATTAAGTTTATTACGTGTATCCTTTGTACCAATTGAAATTGTCTAAAAGGCTCCAAACTGTATAAGCAGTAACATTGCACCCATCCTCTTCTATGGCTGCGGCAACGTGTTCCAAGTAAACCTGAATAAAATAATAATGAGAATGATCTCGTTATGAAATAAACGGAGCTTACATTCATGTAATGGACTCTTCGACAATCGTGTTCGTTCCCAGAATCGGGATATCCATTTGCTGTGATAAAGATTTCCGGACTGTTATATTCTTCTTTAACCCACTTCAACAAATTTTTAATTCCCCATGGAACAGGATTAACCCATGAGACACCGGTTGGCCGCGGTGTTCTATGTTCAGTACAGAAATCAATTCCAAAGAAATGATTACCTTCCTGATTTATATTAGGACGACTACCGTCGCAAATTTTGGAAATAAAGTGAGACAATCCTATGAAATCAGCGCTCCCTCTTATAAGTTCTACTTCATCTTTTGGAAAATCAGGAAGTTTGAAGGTAGTCATTTGTTGTCGTTGAGCGAACATTTCCAACTGCTTTGCAAGTTCTGGTGGATAATCACCTTCTTTTGAAAAGATTGGGTGAGCAAACCATCCCAACTAACACAAATTAAATTAGTAATAAATAATAGTAATTTGAATAAATTATTACCTCAATTTCCATTGCTAGTCGACTTAATTCAACATCGGATTCAGATTTTAGGCCTCGTTCCATCCACGTTGCGCCCAATGAGATCCCAATGCGACCTCGCTGTCTTGTTCTATAGCGGGTGTTGTATATTTTATAAACTCGTCCGTGAGATCTTAGGACGGTGTGTGCACAAAGGTACCCGCTATTACCTTCATGTATTAATCCGTCCGCGAAGGTCACCTCTTGGTAATAGTTGTCAAAGCAAAATCTGTTCGGGTCATCAAAAGTAATCCAATCTCTGACTTTATTTCCGTATATTGAAAATAATAAATTAGCATAGGTTTCAAAGACATCAATTAATTGTTCGTTCATCCAGCCTCCTTTTTCTTGTAGTGCTTGGGGAAGGTCCCAGTGAAACATTGTCGCAACCGGTTTAATACCATTCACTATAAGCTCATCAATTAAATCGTTATAGTAGCGAATTCCATCAGCGTTGATCGAGTTGGTGTAGCCAGTTGGAAAAATTCTCGACCAAGATATTGAAAACTTGTAAAAATCGACGTTCATTGCTTTCAATAGTTGCACATCATCCATAAATTTATGGTAACTATCGCAGGTAATATCAGCATTAGATTTGTCTTTAATTTTCTGAGGTTTCCCGTGAGTAAGCCTGTCCCATTGATTTTCACCTTTTTCGCCTTCATTCCATGCTCCTTCAACTTGATAGGCCGAAGTTGCAACTCCAAATTGTAATGTATCGGGAATGCTTGGTTTAGCATAAGACATACAAATACTATGCCAAAAAAAATTAAAGTACTATTAAAGCAAAAGTAAAGATTAACTTACCACATGAGTAGAATATAACTCATAATACCAAGATGATTCTTCATAACCATCGTGAAGTCGAAACTACTTCTGATTTTAAACGCCCTTTTCTGCAGTATTTATACGATTTTTTCGCGAAAGAATTTCCCTCGTTATCAACTTCGTACCAACTTGTACCAACCACGAATTTGGAATTTTTCGACTATCGTAATTTAATTGGAATCTTTTTGACTAACTTTGGAGTGTGATAAAAGTTATCGCGAGTGCTTTCTAATAACCAAAAAATTTCCTGCGATTAATTTTTACGGCTTTAATCAGCAAATTTTATTGGAAATTATTAATTTTAAATCGATTATTTTTAAATGTGAAGAATTTAGAATTCTAAAACGATTTTTGTAATAAAAAGAAATGATATCTAAAACATATATGTATAAATCGAATTATCTGAATCCGGCTTAATTATAGAAAATTATTGGATCAAAAAAAGTTTTATACAAAAGTTGTTCTAAATTAAATTCTAAAAAGATTTTCTTAATGAAAAAATTTGATATCTCCAATATTTAAGGTTGTGTATATGTATTTAGGTTGTATAAATAATCGATTTATGTGAATCGGGCTTAATTCTAAAAAAATTATCGGATCAAAAAAAGTTTTATACAAAAGTTGTTCTACATTGAATTCTAAAATGTTTTTGTTAATAAAAAAAAATGATATCGTTATATATATAAAAGTTTTTTAATTAATGATACTTTTTATGTAAATAAAATGAATTAAAAAGTTAAGTAATACGAAACTTTAACATTGAACGTGGTAAAATAAGCCGGATCGAGTTAGTTTGGTCGGAAAAACTTGTGAGTAAAGCGTGCTTTCGGCGATAGAAAAGGGCCTGTCAATAGAAAACTAATTATAACTCGAAGGCAACGTAGCCCTGCGAATTTTCGAACTGAATTCCAGAGATCAAAAGAATGTCTTTGAGAAATTCCCTTTGTGGAAGTGTAAAAAATGAAAAATTAAATTAATTTGTTTGTTTAATTAAATTTAATGGTGTGGAGATGAAGTTAATATATATGTTTAAAATAGTTAGTTTTGGGTGGAAATCAAATTTAATTAATTTGTGCGGACGACGGTTTGCGGATGGTTGTTGTAAACGCCTCCGGAACCAAAATTTAATGCGATCTCAACCTCTAGGGAGGTTGTGGAGGTTGTTAGAGAGGTGGATGGCGTTGAAAACGTTCGAGTCCTCATTCAATAAGGAGGATCACGTACAGGAGATATTGTAGTTCGAGAACAATTTGCCGCAAACGGTTGTTTCCGTTGCCAATAACTCTCGGCGAGACCATTTCAGCGCCTTGCTTCCGATATTTACTGCCCGAGATCTCCAATAAAGCTCCGACGAATAGAAAGGGTTTATCATTTTTATTCGTTTTCGGGGAACTCTCCAAACATTTTCAAACAAATATTTGATACAAATTCAACACCTGTTATTTTACAAACAAGTAAATTAACTATTGAAACTCAATTCCTGGTATGCCATTTCCCATTCAACTGCACTGATTTAAAATTGTATTCCAAGAATAATTGGTCGATAACGCTACAGAACAACGATTTTATTTCAACGTGATTATTAGGTTTATGATTTCAATTACACCAAATATATATTTATCTTTAAAAGCCATTCAAATTAAATAATTGTGAAATGTGTTGAATTTGTATGAAATCTTTCATATCACAACCGTTAATTCCGCTGGAGAACGAGGGAAAAATTTCCTCGCCATATGATTCCAAGCGTTTCTCGAGATGATTACGACGCAGGAGAAACAAAACAAAAAAAGTCCATCGAGGGCGAAAAAGAAAACGCCTTCGCCATCTCCCAGAAGCGAAGTTTTAACGAGAGAGATTTTTCTGTAATTCCTGGTTTTTGAAAGTTTGATTAATAGACGAAGGCGTTTGTTGACGTTGTCGGTTTTCGTTTCTATCCTTACAGTCGCCTGCGATAGATCATTAAATTTGGAGTAGTAAACAAGGGTTGAAAGCTTTAGGCATTAGAGAATTATTTCATTGCCGATCCTTATAAAGCCATAAGCTGCAGGTGACTCTATGAATATTTCATGCTTCGCTGAAAGATATTTTAGCCCATAATTCATTTAAAACCAAGTTATTGATTTTTAGCTGAATATTTATTACATTATTGTTTTAAAAAAATATATTAACCTTGAAATATGAACGAAAATCTGATTTTGGTGACATATTTATAATATCGAGTGCCATTTTGGTTTACCACAGATGGAACGCAATTTGTCGATTAAACCAATAAATTTGCAATTATCGGAATTTCAATTTCAATTATTTCATGCACTACTTTGAAATTCCAGTGTTGTTCCATTAATTATTAGATACCTTGTCCATTTATCAATCGACCATTGTTTTATATATAACGGTCAAATTCATACGCTCATTATTTTTGTCGTTCTCGAATTCAAACACATGAAAATAACATCTTCACCGACAAGATGGATCTATATAAAACCTTATGGTCCATACCATTACTTGATTTTATAAACCACTCAAAATGAATGAAATATTAAGTTTTTAGAACTTTACCTTCATGGCACTATAAATTTTTAGTTGAAATTCAAGTAATATTCTTCAATTTCAATCTTTTTATTTATTATTATAAAATTTTTTAAATTAAAAAAATTTAATTCAATGATTTAAAATGATGGGAAACAAACGAAACGTTTTCTGTCAATTTTGCATCGCCTGAAGATGGTAAAGTATATTTCCGAAACCGGTACCATATAGATTTTAATAATTATTCACTTAAAGAAACCCCTGAATGGAGCAGCAGCCTGGTATAGGAAAGTCCGACAGATCATTCAGTTATCAGTAAACTTTCACAAATTCAACGGGTAGCTGGATTAGCAATCTCTAGCAATAGAGGTGCTGCTTGGCCTATCTCCTCTGCATTTGCATATAGAGAAAGTGGCTAGAACAACCATTCACAGATTTAAGCAATATGCTCAAAACTGTTCCGGCATGTCCTGCCAATGGGCTGCGGAAGACATTATAAGCACTGATATCAATGCTGTCACATTTGCCGGGATCACTATCAGTGATTAATGCTCGATACCAGATTGTACTGCCTGAGCGGCAGTCCTGGATCGAAAAAGAAAATTCTCTGGTTCAGGCAGATATCCACAAGTTCACAAAGCCTAGTGCTCCTTGGCTAACGGATAATATTAAGTTTATGATGCACCTAAGAGACAGAGCAAAGTCAAAATTCAGAAGGACATTCAATGCCTCACATTGGAACTATTACAAGGACTTGCGAAACTTGACCACTAATGCCATTAAAAATGAAAAGAGAGCTTATTTCAAATACATTTCGACCAAACGCGATTCTAAGCAGAGATGAGGTGGTTTGAAACATTTGCAAATTAATTCTATGACTCATAATAACAGTCAATTACCCATACAGTTGCAGAATCCTGATGGCAGAAATAGTTTTTTTGTTTATAGCGTTCAAGATATCCTAGACTATATTACGAGACTGATAATTGCTATAAAGAGTTTTTCAGCTTTTACTTCCAATGTATTTTCATTTCGTACGGTTACCACGTCTGAGGTTATGGAAGTTATTTCAGTGATAAGCTCTTCTTCAATGGGGACTGACTTGGTTGGTATTAGTATGCTTCGGATGTGTTACCCTGTTATTTTGCCGTATTTGACACATATTTTAAATACTTGTTTGGTTGAAAATATTTTTCCTGATCAATGAAAACGGGCTGTTGTGCTTCCATTACCAAAGAAAAAGAATCCAGTTGATTATGGAGATTTGCGTCCGATCAGTATTTTGCCAACTATGTCTAAAATTTAGACATAGTTTAGTTCTAAAATTTAGTTAATGATATTGATATCACTGAGTTGTGATAACAGAGTTTCTCTAATCTGGGTCCCGGGTCACTCTGGGGTTGCTGGCAATGAAGCGGCAGATGAGTTAGCACGAGAGGGCAGCGTTAAGGCGTTTGTGGGACCGGAACCAGTATTGGTGTATCATTTGCGATGGCCAAATATAGGATTGGGCTGTGGGCTGAAGAGAGACTTCGCCTACTGTGGACCAGTTCTCCTGGAATGAGACATGCTAAGGTGACTGTCAAACCCGGGAACATTTTAGGACTTGCTCGTAGCACCATAAAAGTTCTAATGGGTGTCTTTAATGTGCGGAGGAAGCAGAGACGGTTAAGCATGTTTTATGCCACTGCCCTGCTGTTCACCGTATCAGATTCTCCTCAAAGGATCTGAATGACTTTTCACCGAGCAAGGTATTAATATTCGTTAAGAGCTTTGGATTGATAACGATATCTATCGAGGTACAATAGATATATAGTCTATGTAATGTAATGTAATATAATAACAAATTTGTAAAAATTTGAATTGTGAAATCATGAAATGATTCAGATATTTCTCTTAAAGGATGACGAAACGTTTTATAAGTCGATTAACGCCATCTATTGAAATCTATTAAAACTAATTTTATTGTTATACTTCTGTGTAAGAAGTTGATGTAGGATTACTGGTATATTTTGTTGTGTTGAGTTAAGACTTAATAGTTTTATTAGAATTTTATTTATAAAAATAAATATAAAGATGTATTGATTATAGAAAAAAAAGTAGTAATGAAAGGTTTCCGTGAATGTTCGTAATACTATTACAGGTCACGTATAGAAAAGATTACGTTCGGTAAAGCGAGAAAAATAGGATTGGAAAAAAAAGTAAAAGTATTGATGGTGTAAAAAGGTAGTGGTAATGGTTTTGGATGGCGATAGAGAAGAGATAAAGAGGAGATCGATCGTCGACAAAGTTTTCGATAAGCCGGAACTCGGATGGTGCAAAAAAACGGTAACTTCGTAACCTCAACTAGTAGAAGCGGGGGGATGTTTTCTGAGGGGATCGAGTTGAAGTGGAGACAATTAGATGGAGTGTATTGGTGATGGCGGAAGTTAGCGCGGTTCGTAATAGAGTTAATTCGGCGACTTGTCGGGATTGAATTTTGCTTCCGGCAAGAGTCGTTCAATGAACTTAGATGCAAAGAAGTTCCGGGACTACGGGAAGACGGGCTAGAGAGGATCCAGGGTTTCAGAAAGATCTTCTAGGAACGGATTCAGTGGCGGAGGGGATGGTGTTTTGCCGCGGGTATGGGGGCGTAACGGCCGCGTGCGACTTCGAAATCAGTTATTAGTTATAAGTACGCATTGAATCAGTCAGTGAGGTCACGCTGCGGTACCATTATTGCGCGTGCGCGCACCCTCATTGATCTAGAAGGCCGGGATCGGCGCTGCAACGTGCGTGTAACCGGAGGCTGCACGCATGCGCCGCAATGTTCGTCAAGCGATCCTCAACACTCTGTACATGGCAGCGCAGTAGCGAACGAGATTCAGAGCCGACCGGCGATGGCAATAGCGATCGAGAGTAGGCACGAGGTCGTAAACATGAAGTAACGGCAGAATAGAATTTAAAACGAAACATAACTAAAAAAATTTTTAACCGAAACCCGTTTCACAACATAAACTAAACCCATATGTATATACGTGTGTATGCGCGACGACGATATACATAAGTATATATGTATGCAGGAGTAAACAAGCCGACCGACCGAGAAACACTGCTGGTTAAGAGAGTGCAAAGCTGAATCCGAGCCCAGCCATGAGCTAAAGCCCGAGGTTTCACGGGATCGACTTGAAGGAGAGTCTGGGCAGTACATCCCCAAATGGACAGTGCCATGCGACAATGCCACTTCCACCACGGTCCGCGAGCTTTGACGTTTCTTATACTCTTGAACATCATCTGCACACTACCGGACGGTATGATATTCACATTTTTGTTTGTTTATTTCTTTTTTTTCCGACACTATAATTCAAAGTCTACTCAAAACACTTTTTTCAAGTCCTATTACAATTCTTTTTATTCAAACACCGATTGTTTTTCGCAAATAATACCGGCGCATCCACCATTTTTACTAAATCCATTTAAACACGCTGCAATAACTCGACCATAAACTTAGGTACGTTCAAACACTTTTACTTTACACCTATTTTTGAATCTTTGTATCGCGTCGTCATATCATTCATTTCTACATCAATCGAACACGTTTGATCAGCTGTTTTCGCCCGTCAATTGAATGGACCTTTACATATATATATATATATAATGAGATATTAATACATTTAGAATTAAAAAAAATTAAATAAATAAAACTAACTTGATTTATTAATTATTAACCATGTTATTTCATTCATAAAATCAAACAAACAATGTATGTGCTTTTTGATGGATTGACACAGATTGATCGATTGTTTGATTAAAGCTAACGAATTCATCACAATGTTCAATCGGTTTTATATTGATTTTTTCATGAATAACAAATCTAAAAAGTTACCAAACACGTTTAGCATGAATTTCAAGGAAATTAAAAAATGCTACTTTATTATTCAAATTCAGTTTAATTATGTTAAGATGTTTTGATCGTTTTTCCGGCAAGCTTTTTAAAACTCCTCCTAACAATAGGGAAGTAGTTAACGCCAGAAGCTAATAATTTTTTATGAGTTGAATTTATGAGTGAAATCATTAAAATTTTATTATGATAATAACAAACAAAAATTCGCTAATTAATGAACGGAATTAATTGAGATGTAAAGAAAGTTTAATAAAACTTCAAACGTGTATCTTTATTCGAAAGCGAATGGAAATTGTTTTGAATGGAAATTGGTTAAACAACGCTAGTGCACTTGAAAACGCGGTACGAGAGAGTTTAATCGAATTAAACAAAGCTTTGTGGGGAAAGCAGCACAATGGACATAAATTAATGACCCATTCTGATGAGGCGAAAAGAGCACGGTGGAGTGTCAAGGGTTCGATTTTTCTAAAAATTAGTATTGCGGCGCGAACAAAGTAGTCAAGAACCCTTTCTTTATACGATCGTACGAGAACAAAAAGTCGAAAACACAAACAACAGAAAAAAATATATATTGTACCATCGAACCGAATTTATACCAGCTGCGCTCGAGAAACTATATCGAACTAAAACGCTCCGTGCAGATGTCGTCCTCCAAGTTTCCTTTGTCCGAACGCTTAAGGGCTCCCGGCGCTTATAAATCACCGTCGCTTTAATGTAATAATAATTCAACTTAAAAAACGACCCGATTTAAACGACGCAATTAAGCGCCACCTGCGTGCGTGACCGAATAATCGCGATCCGGTCCGTTCAAACGGCAATTAACGCCGATTGTCGATGTTAATTAATGCCCCATTATGCCCACCCTAACTGCGAGCTTTTGCGTCAGCCGCAGATCGACGATTTTTTGGAACAACTTTTCTTTCTTTTGTTGCAGAATCCGCGGCTGGGTACAACGAAAAAAAGCTCCTGCACAAGCTACTCGATCACTACAATGTCCTCGAACGACCGGTTGCCAATGAATCCGACCCGCTGCAACTTAGCTTTGGACTCACCCTCATGCAAATCATCGACGTGGTAAGTCAATTAATATTTTACAAAGTATCTAATAGATACTATTAAATCTAATTAACATCTTCAATGGAAGATGATCCAACAATGGTCTACATATTAATAGCACGTCAGTTTATAATTGCAACTATTACCTCTATATATGTATATGCTTTACTGGAATATATATATTAATTTGTTGTTTTTTATTTTATTATTTTTAATATCATTTTATTGTATTAACAAACATTTTTATTAAAAGCTAAAATCGGCTGATGATGAACCATCGCGCGAAACCGGTTATTTTATACATTAATACCGATTTGTTTGATAAAGGACTCCATTGTTGACTTCGGTCAGTAATGTTAAATATAAAAAAATAATTAAAAATTCGAAGAATGAAATTTAGTGGTTCTCAACTACCGGTTTCGGAAAAAATTTCCGTCATCAGGTTGTTAATCCACGCAGCCACTATTAATTGACGCAACAACCTGATGACGGAAATTTTTTCCGAAACCGGTAGTTGAGAACCAATAAATTTCATTCTTCGGATTTTTAATTAATTTTTTACATTTAACATTAATACCGATGATTGTTTTATTTGTTAGTTGGAAACAGTTCAAGATTCGAATGCAGAATTTTTATTAATTTGTAATTTTTGTTCTAATATATAAAAAAAACGTTATTTTTTATATTTTATTCAACACAGTTCATGAAAGGACTTCGGAATGTGTTTTTCGCGTTTATCTCGCATTTTATTATATTATTTTTAATATAATTTTATTGTATTAACAAACATTTTTATTAAAAGCAAAAATCGGCTGATGATGGACCATCGCGCGAAACCGGTTATTTTATACATTAATACCGATGATTGTTTTATTTGTTAGTTGGAAGCGGTTCAAGATTCGAATGCAGAATTTTATTTGATACTTTTTATTAATTTTATTAATTTGTACTTTTTGTTCTCATATATAAAAAAATGTTATTTTTTTATATTTTATTCAACACAGTTCATGAAAGGACTTCGGAATGTGTTTTTCGCGTTTATCTCGCATTTTATTTTATTATTTTTAATATAATTTTATTGTATTAACAAACATTTTTATTAAAAGCAAAAATCGGCTGATGATGGACCATCGCGCGAAACCGGTTATTTTATGCATTAATACCGATGATCGTTTTATTTGTTAGTTGGAAACAGTTCAAGGTTCGAATGCAATATTTTATTTGACACTTATTATTAATTTTATTAATTTGTAATTTCTGTTCTAATATAAAAAAAACGTTATTTTTTATATTTTATTCAACACTGTTCATGAAACAACCTTGGAATATGTTTTTCGCGTTTATCTCGCATTTTATTTTATTGTGTTTAATATAATTTTATTGTATTAACAAACATTTTTATTAAAAGCAAAAATCGGCTGATGATGGACCACCGCACGAAACCGGTTATTTTATACATTAATGCCGATAATTGTTTTATTTCTTAGTTGGAAACAGTTCAAGGTTCGAATGCAATATTTTATTTGACACTTATTATTAATTTTATTAATTTGCAATTTCTGTTCTAATATATAAAAAAACGTTATTTTTTATATTTTATTCAACACTGTTCATGAAACAACCTTGGAATATGTTTTTCACGTTTATCTCGCATTTTATTTTATTATTTTTAATATAATTTTATTGTATTAACAAACATTTTTATTAAAAGCAAAAATCGGCTGATGATGGACCACCGCGCGAAACCGGTTATTTTATACATTAATACCGGTGATCGTTTTATTTGTTAGTTGGAAACGGTTCAAGATTCGAATTCAGAATTTTATTTGATACTGTTTATTCGTATATGACATATTTGGCGTGGGAGTTTTAAGTGAAACAACATGAGAATGTTTTTTGAAAACATAAAAAAGGTGACGATGTAATGTTAAAATTCTCTGGCGACGTCTGGTTTAAAAAAGCCGAGTGAAATCGCAGACTAGAAGTTTTAAAAGCGGCCATTAATTTTAGTTATGCCAGCAAATTGTGAAAATTAGTTCTGCGCCGAGGCTAATGTAAGCATTCCCGAGGGTACGGGCGGTATAAATTCTCGTATAAGGGAATCTGGGAATCCGGAATTAGCGCTTCGGACATCTAAACTCGGTTTTATCGAATACCGAAACAAATATTTCCTAGAGAAAAAACCGACGATTCCTTTATTGGGGCATTTTATTTCGAAAATTATACATTGTACAAGTCGCCGGTCGAAGCGCGAGTGCAAAAACAATACGCTTTATGTTGGAGCTTTATACATATAAAAAGCTCACCGGAATGGAATCCATTGTCGATTGGGAGTGCTAAAACGGTAAATGTGTCCGGCGGACCGCGAATTGTTTTGGACCAATTTATGTTTAGTTTTATTTAAACAACACTCGACCCACTCATTATGTTAATATTTTTATTATTATTTGTAAACAGTTTTTCTTTATATTTAATATTTACTTTAATTAAATGGAATGAAATATTTGATGTATTATTTATTAAATTAAAACAATAAAAGAGCAAATCAATTAAATTTATAAATTAAATCGCGCAATGTTTTCATATTTCAATATTTTATTGCAATAATTCACGAACCATCTCCAACGTCTACATTCAATTTAATAAAATATTCCACCAAAGGTAAAACCATACACAATTTTTATTGTATACGTGTTGAGTCACGTATTGAAATCTGGAGAGTTACTCTTGGCTATCCTTTGATCCTGGTGGTAGGTGGGCGGACTTTTTTTTTATTTCTCCGAAACTTTCATCCTACAAAAACGGAACCAGAATAAATTTGGCCAGTTTAGGCAACCGTCCAGCAGCTGCCGGCTCCGCCAATCGATAGCCCCGTGTATTATTCACCGGCGAATGTGCCCGGCATCTGAAGTGCACGTGCATAATTCATTAAATAGGACGTCCGAATTTATTCCGAACGTTGCCACTTCGGCGTCCGTAATTCGAGTTCGATTGTCATAACGAGCAATGCACCTTCGGGAATCCCGCTTTCCGGCCAAATCGTTTCCTCATTTCATCTCTGTAACTCACGTCCCAATCTCTCTCTCTCTCACTCACTCTTATTCACTTCCGTTTTAACCCACATCCCAGACAAACATTGAACCTCGTTCAGGTCAACTTCACTTGGACATGTCATCATAGATGGTATATTGAAGTTCTTTTTCATTCACTTTTCCTTTTTTAGTAGGTTCTTTTAGATTTTTCATTTTAACCCTTTTTAATACCTACAAAATACCAGAAATTTTATATAACACGCAATAATATATGAATGCAGTAACCATAGTTACGAAACTACTATGTATTTGCACTGTCTCACATAAAATGCAACATAACTTAATAGTACAGGCATTGGGTAGTTTTGCAAAGGAAAAGTTTTGCTTGGAAAAAGGTGACGTGCTTATGATGACCCGAATGTTTCTGGTTCTAGGTCTAGTGTTAGTTCTGCAATTAAAACTAGAACTAACACTAGACTTAGAACTAGAAGCATTCGGGTTTAGCCGCACGTCTCTCAAGACGGCTAAACCCGAATGATTCTAGTTCTAGGTCTTGTGTTAGTTCTAGTGATAGTGCTAGTGTAAAACTAGAACTAACACTAGACTTAGAACTAGAAGCATTCGGGTTTAGCCGCACGTCTCTCAAGACGGCTAAACCCGAATGATTCTAGTTCTAGGTCTTGTGTTAGTTCTAGTGATAGTGCTAGTGTAAAACTAGAACTAACACTAGACTTAGAACTAGAAGCATTCGGGTTTAGCCGCACGTCTCTCAAGACGGCTAAACCCGAATGATTCTAGTTCTAGGTCTTGTGTTAGTTCTAGTGATAGTGCTAGTGTAAAACTAGAACTAACACTAGACCTAGAACCAGAAACATTCGGGTCATCATAAGCACGTCACCTTTTTCCAAACAAAACTTTTCCTTTTCAAAACCAGCAATAGTACTATTAAGCTATGTTGCATTTTATGTGAAACAGTGCAAGTACATAGTAGTTTCGTAACTATGGTTCTAGTTTAGTGTTAGTTCTGCAATTAAAACTGAAACTAACACTAGACTTAGAACTAGAAGCATTCGGGTTTAGCCGCACGTCTCTCAAGACGGCTAAACCCGAATGATTCTAGTTCTAGGTCTTGTGTTAGTTCTAGTGATAGTGCTAGTGTAAAACTAGAACTAACACTAGACCTAGAACCAGAAACATTCGGGTCATCATAAGCACGTCACCTTTTTCCAAACAAAACTTTTCCTTTTCAAAACCAGCAATAGTACTATTAAGCTATGTTGCATTTTATGTGAAACAGTGCAAGTACATAGTAGTTTCGTAACTATGGTTACTGCATTCATTACTGAACATTCAGGCATGTTGCATTTTATGTGGTGCAAAGTAAGTAGTTTCTATGGAAATAAACTGCTTACTGCAATAAATCCCTTAGCTTTAATAAAGGTAACTTTTTGGCCAAGTTAAGACAAAATGGCAATAACATAAATTGATAATGTTGAAAGAGAATTTATAATATAAATATAATTTGTGTTTGTTTCAGGACGAGAAAAATCAACTACTCATCACGAACATATGGTTGAAATTGGTAAGAAAGTTTTAAAGTCATAGTCCTTCCGGTGCAACGCTCCTTTTCGTGAAGTTTAATATTGAAAAGTCGCATTTGCCAAACTAAAATTCGGAATCTTGGGAAGAATCTTTCTCGGGAATTTAGCGCGTAACCTAGTTTTGGTTTGGCACGTAGCTTGATCCCTCCAAGTCCCCTCGACAAGACATAAGGTATCGGCATTTTGTCGCCTCTGCAGGAATGGAACGACATGAACCTACGGTGGAATTCGTCCGAATACGGCGGCGTGAAAGACTTGAGGATCCCTCCCCATCGTCTTTGGAAACCCGACGTCCTCATGTACAACAGGTAAGACGAATCGCCCGAATTTCACACGAATTTCCTTCCTATTTCAAACGATATTTCTCTTCGGTTATCCCTTTTCTGTTTATTTTCTCTTTGTTTTTTTTTATTTGTTTTATTTATCTCCTTATTTTCTATTTCTTTCGTTTTTTTTTCTTTTTTTACAGTGCCGACGAGGGATTTGATGGTACGTATCCCACCAACGTCGTCGTTAGGAACAACGGAAGCTGCATGTATGTTCCTCCTGGGATATTCAAAAGCACCTGCAAGATTGACATCACGTGGTTCCCTTTCGACGACCAGAGATGTGAGATGAAGTTCGGCAGTTGGACCTATGATGGATTACAGGTATCTTAATTGTCTCGCTGATGGTTTGTGACTGGCGTGTTGGGCCATTTATCATTTAGGACAATTGATAATACAATATAAGGATTAACACAATTAGGTTAATTAATGTTGGTTAGGTAAAAAATTGGATGCTTGAAGAAAATGAGTTTTCGTTAAGTGTAAGTGATATCGTTCGATCAGAACAAGTGGTGATTAAAGCATCTGGTTGAGGGTCCTTATGGGGGCGTCACAGAGAGCGATAAGGAAGTAAACTCAAAGTGCGGACCCTGAAAATCGATAGACCAACGAGCGAAATCGTGCGTTATAAATACCAAAAGACAAAGACAAAGTTAGTATCAACGCAATTAGGGAGTTTTTAGTTTTCTCAGACACTCTCTTTTAAGGCGTCCGATCCGGTGGTTTCAAACTAATTAGGGACGTAACTCGGTAACGACTCCCTTCAGTTGGTAACGACTCGGTAACGGGCCGTTTTTATTAGGTCGGTCGTACTTCAAGTCCTCGCGGGGCTTTCGGTTGCATCTCGTCCTACGAAGTATCAAGTCCCGGGAACGCTAACGAACCGTCGTAGAGTTTCTTTACGCGACGGCATCGTGTTTTGATGAAAAATCGATGAGGGTGCCTCCGAAAATGCGAGGGGGTAATTTTTCAAACGAGGACAGATTGGTTCAAACTCGTTATTGCGCAGGCATGAATGTTTTACGCAATTCTTATCCTGGAATTTTTTCTCATCTTTCCCGTCTACGGGCATATGTCACGCACGCCGGGATCAATACCGGGATGAAAACGAGCCGACGAAAAGCGGATTCCTCGCGGTTCGACGCGCCACCGTCGTGTGCCTACGAATATTTTAAAATTCCATTTAAGTCCATCGCACCACGATCCGTTTAATACCAATTTCGTGACGAGATTTACTGATTAAAGTAAACACGCGATTCGAACAGGTGAGATTTATATTAAATCAACGCAGTGTGAATCGAATCATCATGTTTCAACTAAAAAACTAAAATTAAATAAACCGCTATTTCATTGGAGTTAACACAATATTTAATTTTGTTCTTTTTCCCTTTTTATCCAACGTTGTACTTTTTCGAGCGAACTAAAATTACGACTTCAATTAAGTTTTTAACAGATGGTAAAAAATTTAAATGAACATCATAAAATTAACTTAAACAAGAGCATGATCTAATATGTATAGTGTGTTAATTAATCATATAATAATCATACCCGACGTCATCATTGCAAGTATGCAACCAATATCACAGTATTTTTATTACAATACGCGATTTGCGTATGATGCGTATTGCACTGTGATAGTGGTTGCATACTTGCGGGTACGATAATTAATTAACACACTGTACTTCTAATCTTATCTTTCGTTAACTTCTTGTTTAGGCAAACAATTTGCATGCAAAGGAGCGCGGTATTTAGGGAAAACGAGCTTGGGATTTAAAATTTAAAGGAGGCGCTCAATTAGAACTGGAAAATCGCTAATTGCTGGCAATACTTCAGGCGGTAATTACTGAACGGGACAAAATGGATATATCTTGACCGATATTAAATTTACTGCTCATCAATTTTATTTACGCGGGCAGTGTTTCAGATCGCAACTGCTTAAATGGAACTATCGATTTTGTAGCCTTAGATGCATATCTCGATCCTTTCCTTTTTCCTCTTCCAGGGAGAGTTATCTTAGGTCTCCGACGGGATAAAGAGGACAGTAAACTACTGAAAAGGCTGTAACGTTCGATTTCCTTTACAGCTGGACCTGCAGCTGCAGGATGAGGGCGGTGGGGACATCAGCAGCTTCATAACAAACGGGGAGTGGGATTTGCTGGGTAAGCGATTTCCTATAATTGGCCCTAAGCCTCTACAACGTCCGTTCTCGATTGGGCAGGCGTTCCTGGGAAGCGGAACGAGATCTACTACAACTGCTGCCCCGAACCGTACATCGACATCACGTTCGTCATCATAATACGACGGAGAACGTTGTATTACTTCTTCAACCTGATAGTTCCGTGCGTCCTAATCGCTTCCATGGCCGTCTTAGGGTTTACACTGCCGCCGGATTCTGGAGAGAAGCTTTCATTAGGTGTCACCATCCTCTTATCGCTGACCGTGTTCTTAAATATGGTTGCCGAAACGATGCCAGCAACTTCGGATGCCGTCCCTCTCTTGGGAACCTACTTCAATTGCATCATGTTCATGGTGGCCTCGAGCGTTGTCTCCACGATTCTCATACTCAACTACCACCATCGGAACGCAGACACTCACGAGATGTCATCATGGGTAAGGTTTTATGTGACACTCCTACCAATATATATAACATTAATATTGCAAAAATTTCTAGGTGAAAGTCGTCTTCCTCTACTGGCTCCCGTGGGTCCTGCGAATGCAACGGCCCACGTCGACCCCCCAAAAACCCAACTGCGATTGCTCAACGCCACAAAGTAGCAGCAGCAGACCCGCGTCTGTTGGCGCCGATCGCAAACAACTCCAATTTCAAGACGTTGAGCTTAAGGAACGATCGTCAAAAAGTTTATTAGCCAACGTTTTGGATATTGATGACGACTTTAGACACAATCATCGCGGTGCTAGCACACCCACCCCTATCCCTGCGGCAGCATTTTTCAGAACTGTGTATAGGTAAGTTACTAAATATAATGTTAAAATCTTTTCAATGTTCCCTAACTCCTTTTCAACGTTTTCATTCCGCTCCCGTAATTCAGATAAATTATTCGCGAACCTGAATAAACTTGAGTTTCCCACATATTCCCACGCAGCAAATTGAAAAGAAAAAAGAAACCCGCAGAAAGTCGGGACTTTTGAAGTAAAGAATTTAAAAAAAATGTTGAAAACTTCCTCATTTCTAACAACGGCCTGTACGTACGTGATATTTCGTATCTCTGGGTCAGTACGTCGGGTCGGAAGCGGAAAACGCTTACCCCGTTTTTACGAGCAACCTTAAGCGGCCGTTTCGTCTTACGGACGTCGTTTCGCAAATCGCCGAGCTACCCGAAATTGAGGAATTGCGGTATTCAATTCGCGTGAGTACCTTCGGACGGGCACATTTTACGGAGACGCCTCGACAATCCATCATTTTCAGCTACCGCAAAAAATATCCGCGTATTAAACTTGTCGGCAAATAGTTTTTAGGTCGACTAAAAGGGACGCCCTCTAGTGTAATATTGAAAAGAGCTACTCTGAAGATTACACACACATTTTACTCTTTTATTAGTTCTGTCTCAGATCACTTTAACACCCATTCATCTTCTAAAACACTTTAACATGCTTTTAATTTCTTTTTTATATTATCGTTTTGTTTATTTATATCTCAACTCAAAATAAACTTTAATTTTCTTCATAAAAATTAATTTAGTTCCATAAAAGTTCGAGATATTAATTAGTAAAATTAATTAGCAATTTTTGCCGTTTTTAGATAGAAGTAAAAATTAATAAAAAATCGATTTTTTGGAAAATTGTATTCAAATATTCATCAATTATTAATTAAAGGGTCTATTTTCCGATGAATAAATTTGTTTTGAAAAATTAGACCTGGTTCTTGAGATATTAATTATTAAAGTTAATTATTTTAATAATTTTTGCCATTTTTTGGAGTAAATAAAAATTTGTAAATAATAGATGTTTTAAAAAATTGTTATAAAATATTCATCAATTGTTAATCAAAGCATCTACAGTGTGTTAATTAATTATCATACCCGACGTCATCATTGCAACTATGCAACCAATATCACAGTATTGGTATTGCCACTCCTCGAATTTGTCCTGGTTCTTGAGATATTAATTATTAATTTTTGTCGTTTCTGGGGGTAAATAAAAATTCCTAAAAAATTGATTTCTTGAAATTTTTTTATAAAATTTGTTAATTAAAGCATCTACTTTCCAGTGAATAAGTCCGTTTTTCAAAATTTTACCTGGTTCTTGTAATATTAATGATTAAAGTTAATTATTAATTTTTGCAATTTTGGGGTAATTAAAAATTTATAAATAATAGATGTTTTAAAAAATTGCAAAGCATTTACAGTGTGTTAATTAATTATCATACCCGACGTCATCATTGCAACTATGCAACCAATATCACAGTATTGGTATTGCCACTCCCCAAATTTGTCCTGCTTCTTGAGATATTAATTATTAATTTTTGTCGTTTTTGGGGGTAAATAAAAATTCCTAAAAAATCGATTTCTTGAAAATATTTTATGAAATTTGTTAATTAAAGCATCTACTTTCCAGTGAATAAGTCAATTATTAATCAAAGCATCTGCAGTGTGTTAATTAATTATCATACCCGACGTCATCATTGCAAGTATGCAACCAATATCACAGTATTGGTATTCCCACTCCCCGAATTTCTCCTGGTTCTTGAGATATTAATTATTAATTTTTGTCGTTTCTGGGGGTAAATAAAAATTCCTAAAAAATTGATTTCTTGAAAATTTTTTATGAAATTTGTTAATTAAAGCATCTACTTTCCAGTGAATAAGTCCGTTTTTCAAAATTTTACCTGGTTCTTGTAATATTAATGATTAAAGTTAATTATTAATTTTTGCAATTTTGGGGTAATTAAAAATTTATAAATAATAGATGTTTTAAAAAATTGCAAAGCATTTACAGTGTGTTAATTAATTATCATACCCGACGTCATCATTGCAACTATGCAACCAATATCACAGTATTGGTATTGCCACTCCCCGAATATGTCCTGGTTCTTGAGATATTAATTATTAATTTTTGTCGTTTTTGGGGGTAAATAAAAATTCCTAAAAAATCGATTTCTTAAAAATTTTTTATGAAATTTGTTAATTAAAGCATCTAGTTTCCAGTGAATAAATCAATTGTTAATCAAAGCATCTGCAGTGTGTTAATTAATTATCATACCCGACGTCATCATTGCAAGTATGCAACCAACATCACAGTATTCGTATTCCCACTCCTCGAACTTGTCCTGGTTCTTGAGATATTAATTATTAATTTTTGTCGTTTTTAGGGGTAAATAAAAATTCTTGAAAATTTTTATGAAATTTGTTAATTAAAGCATCTGCTTTCCAGTGAATAAGTCCGTTTTTTCAAAGTTTTACCTGGTTGAGATATTAATTATTAATTTTTGCAATTTTGGGGTAATTAAAAATTAATAAATAATAGATGTTTTAAAAAATTGTTATGAAATGTTCATCAATTGTTAATCAAAGCATCTACAGTGTGTTAATTAATCATCATACCCGACGTCATCATTGTAAGTATGCAACCAATATCACAATATTGGTATTGCAATACTAATACTGTGATATTGGTTGCATGGTACTTACCAGTGAATAAGTAATATAAAAATTATTAAAATTAATTAATTTAATACTAAATTGTTATAAATTAGAAAAAAGAATAAAAATTGTAAAAAAATTAAAATAAAAAAAGTGCGGGAATTGAACCTAGTCTCTTAACGGGGGCTTTTTATAAAGTTGTTAAAATGATATTTTTGTTGTAGACCGAATGAAGATAATGGTAACGGGGGAGCACGTTTGCATGAATCATTGGTGTCAAACCACGCGTGTTTCAGTGCGGATTACGAATTGGCGTTGATCCTAAAAGAGATCCGTTTTATAACGGACCAATTACGAAAGGAGGACGAGGCCGCGGATATCACCAGGGATTGGAAGTTTGCCGCGATGGTCGTTGACAGATTGTGCCTTATTATTTTCACGTTGTTCACCATCATCGCCACGTTGGCGGTCCTGTTCTCCGCGCCGCACATAATCGTCTCGTAGCGTATCCCGTCTGCTGATTAAAAAGCATCAGCTTAGGGACGATAGGGCCGGAGGGCGGAGGCGCGCGAAGCGATCCCCAGGGGGCCGAAGACCAGTGGTTTCACAACCGTTATCAGCGTTTCGTTCGAACCGTTACACTAAACCCAGTTTGGAACGAACCTAAAAACGTTGTACATTAATGTTAAAAATAATTTAAAAAAAGAAAAAAATAAATTGGTCGCGGGGCGAAGCCTGATCGAGATGTGTTGAGCTTTTAAGCCGTTTCTATTTTTGATAGAGGCATCGGGCGACGCCCCGTGTACCCCCTTAAACAAAAAGTTAAATGAAACTCACTTCGAGTTGAAATGTTAAAGTTAACGATAACTCCTAGTCATATACTTGTTCGAGCGTTTGGAAACTACCGTTAAAAATATATGTGTATTGTGTTTTAAAAATAAAAAAAATCGCTGTGTAGTTTTGCACTAGGGCGCTTACTAAAATTAACCTTATAAACTATGAGATATAAAGAAAAAATATTAATGAACGTTCGTACAACAGGGTTTATTGTATTTAATGAAACTAATGAAACCAAATGCAAAAATAACGAGAAAACGAGAAAAACATACCTAAAACATAGAATGAGCAGAACAGAGAATTTGCCGCCAAAATCTTACCTTTACGATTAAGACAAACATATTAAAGCATAAAAGGCCCCGATAAAGTTTTCTGTTCTGAATATGCTGTGTCTAAACGTTATTAAAAATAGTGAGGATTGTACAATTACTAGACTATAAGAACTAACGTAATAACTTTAAGGGTGTAATAAGGAACATTTTGCAAAAACATTGTTCTGAAAGAATGTGGAAAAATCAAGACGCCCCCTGAACAGATTCATTTGACCATAGTTTAGTTGACGGTCTCAGTTTTTTAGTGTAACGTTCATTAGGGTATTGACACAATCATACTGTGATAAAATCAAGTTAAATGTTGAGTTGTCAGGCTGGTGTCTCAAGCAGCCGGACTTTGTTCGAAATGAAAAAAAAAAAATAAAAGCTTTAGCGGCAGATCGCCTGCTATTTCGCATTGTTAATATTTTATAAAAAACGACGTGTAGAATTTATACTTTTATGTTCCACTTACTACAAAAAAAAAAATGAATAATATATATTGTACGAATTCGTTAAAATAAAAACTCGGAATCAAATAAATCCAAAGTTAAAAAATTAAAAAAAAAGAAAATGAAGAAATTTTTCGAATAAATTAGCTGCTAACGTAGTGTGTAACTTTCACTTAAAAAAATGAATTTCTTATATACTGTAAATACTAAATTCTATAATGTTAGTTGATAATAATAATACTAATAATAATAATGATAAATACTAATAACGAGAATAATAATCAATAATTTGTTAATAATCCTGGGATTTAGACTTCTTTGGATGTCGCCCCTTTTTAAAATCTCTCCTTCTTACTTCCTATACGGAACAGGGGCCAATTTCAATAACTAAAACGACAAGAATAAAAGAAAAAACTTACTTTCACTAAATAAAAAATAAAATCCCAGCGATGCTAACAAATTAAATTAGTTAAAAACGATGCCCGTTATCAAAAAACAAAAAAAAAATGGCGACATATCTTCGGACTTCATTATTGTCAACAAGTCTTTCAAGCGATTTAAAAAAAAAAACGTAAAAATAAAAATGAGAAGAGCCGATTAAAAAAAGAAAATGAACTAGAAGGCTATGTTAAAAAAGTATTATTAATAATAATGATAATGTATAAATAATTTTAAAATGCAAAAAACGCGTTAAATAAACTAGGGATTGGAACGAATGGTTAAAATATTATATTACCGTTTTTTCACGTTTAATATTTATTTATTGCATTGTCGTCTGATGTATTACCTTATTGCTGAAATAAAATCAACCGGCTCCTTCACCATCTCCCAATATAAAAGGAAGTTGCTCAAACACAAAAAACGCCGAAAAATTAAAAGGATAACACTTAAAAAAAATCGTCAAGGAGTTGTGAAAGATCCGCTTGCGTTCGATGCAATAAGAATACATCTACGAATATAAAAAAACGTTCTTCCACTGTCATGCAAGACAATATCTTGTTAAAATATCTTCTAATTGATATAAGTTCAATGTTTGAAGCGGCGTTCGAGAACGAAATTAACGTTTAATAAACGTTTAGACGATTGTTTCGTTGGATTCAAGTCATCTATCTCTCTTTAAAAGGCGGAAAAATCGAACGTGGCTATAAAAAAAATTAATTAAAAAAGGCGAATGTCAAAAAAATCATAGTAGAAAAAAGCGGATGTTAAGTAATCGAACTTAAAAAAGGCGGATGTTAAAAAAAAGGCGGAAATAAAAAACGACCTGGTAAATAATAATAAAAAAATTTCAATAAATTACTGTAATCACGACGGCATGTAATTTCCCTGCAAACTCATTATAAGCGAAGTAAAGAACACGAGATTCGACAATCGGTTTTTTTGGTTCTACGCCATACAACCGGCGTATGTCTACTGCAAAAAGAATTGTTTTCTACTGAACAATGTAATAACTGTGTCACAATGGGTTGTATTTGTTAAAATGAATTTGAATTAAATGACAAAATGAAATTTTATGTTTTTATTTATTATTTATTCTTACCTATTCCTTTTAATTTATAAAAATTTTATTAAAATTTATTAAAATTATATTTATTTATGATTTATTTATAAAATAAAATTATATAAAAATAAAAAAAAAAAAATTAATAACCTGATTTATTAAAATTGACATAAAATTGTATTTGTCAACGTTTGTGAAAAAGGTTAAAGATAAAATTGGAGTGATAAATGTCAATAGTAATTGGAGAAATAAAAAGAATGGGAGAAAAAGAGATGAAATTGGAAGATGTCGCGAAAAAGGAGTATTAAAGAAATTTAAGTGATAGGGTGTAAAAGGTGTCAAGAGAAATTCATATTACGAATTCTTTGGAATCCGTAGAAAGGGCTTGGCGCAATCGCGTTGTTGGCGCGAATCGATAAATAGGAAGGGACAATGCACCGATTGGCGGAGGGCGAAATTTTGCGCCATCTCGTGTTGGGCGATGGGCGCAATTTCAATTGCCCGTATGGGAGTGTATCCTTATAGTGCGCGTTGGTAGTGCGGCATGGAAAGGGTGTGTTAGGTGTTTACATGGTATCTATACGATATGGTGACGGTCGCGCGAAATGTTTAAACAAAGACGCGTCAATTTGTTCATCTATTTCTGGATGCCGTCTAAGGGGGTTTCGCTTGAAGCCACGACGAACACATCTTGTATTCGATGATCATAAGGAATAGTAATCGCCGAGTATCGTAATGTGGAAGCTCGAGGCGGTTTTCCCCTTATCCTTGGCGGTTCTGACGGTCATCTTCGTCGCGGGTAAGAACTAAAAGCCACTATTTGAATGTAAACAGAGCCCCTCCCCGAATCTTATAAAGACAAAAGGCATGACATTCGTTTCCGCGAATTTCAGGTGTCAGTTGCTCCGAAGATGAGGAAAGATTAGTTCGCGACCTATTTCGAGGGTACAACAAACTCATCCGGCCTGTTCAAAACATGACCGAGAAAGTGGATGTCCGTTTCGGCCTGGCTTTTGTCCAACTCATTAACGTGGTACGTTCTCTTGACCTATTGTGGCAATTGCTTTTTATTACCGCTAGATTTTCAGAACGAGAAGAACCAAATTATGAAGTCCAACGTTTGGCTTCGATTGGTAATAACGCTCCTTTCACTTTCTTTGTCATCCCGTAAGTTCTTTTCAGGTTTGGAATGATTATCAACTGCAGTGGGATGAAGCCGATTACGGAGGAATCGCTGTATTGCGTTTGCCACCCGATAAAGTTTGGAAACCAGACATTGTCTTATTTAACAATGCTGACGGCAACTACGAAGTTCGATACAAGTCCAATGTATTAATTTACCCGAACGGTGAAGTTCTGTGGGTCCCACCAGCCATTTATCAAGTAACGTTTTAATTTCCCTCGCCACCAATGACATTCCTTCATGATTTTTTTTCAGAGTTCTTGTACAATTGACGTGACATACTTTCCTTTTGACCAACAAACTTGCATAATGAAATTTGGTTCTTGGACTTTCAATGGAGATCAAGTATCTCTAGCCTTGTACAACAACAAAAACTTTGTCGATTTATCTGATTATTGGAAGTCCGGCACGTGGGATATCATCGAAGTACCGGCTTACCTCAATATCTACGAGGGTAATTACCCCACGGAGACAGATATCACATTTTACATCATTATCAGAAGGAAAACATTATTTTACACTGTAAACTTGATCCTGCCCACAGTTCTCATTTCGTTCCTTTGTGTTCTTGTCTTTTATCTCCCAGCGGAAGCTGGTGAAAAAGTATGTTTTGGAATTTATTATTTATTCGCAATTTTTATTTAAAACTCTTCTAGGTTACTTTAGGAATTAGTATCTTACTGTCTCTGGTTGTGTTCCTGCTGCTGGTATCGAAAATCCTGCCGCCGACTTCTCTCGTGTTGCCTCTTATAGCTAAATACCTCCTGTTCACGTTCATTATGAACACAGTCAGTATTTTAGTGACCGTAGTCATCATAAACTGGAACTTCCGAGGACCGAGAACACATAGGTACAAATAAATCTCACCTTCATTCATCATTCTTTTCGTTTTTCTTTAAATTACTAGGATGCCTTCGTGGATTAGAACGGTATTTTTAAATTACCTGCCTACAATGTTGCTTATGAAACGGCCTAGAAAAACTAGACTACGATGGATGATGGAAATGCCCGGAATGGGCGTTCCTCCACATCCATACGGATCGCCAACTGATATATCTAAACCAATAAGGTTAGTTTTTTTATGTCATTTCAACAAATTAATTTGAAATTAAATTCTAACAGTTCCATTGAATCGCAAAGTAAAGTAGAAGTAATGGAACTGTCAGACTTACACCATCCAAACTGTAAGATTAACCGGAAGATCAATTCGGAAATTGGCGTGGGCGTCGCTGCGGACAGCTGTAGACGTGAAAGCGAAAGTTCGGATTCGCTACTTTTGTCGCCGGAAGCGTCGAAGGCTACCGAAGCAGTTGAGTTTATAGCTGAACATTTAAGGAACGAAGATCTTTATATTCAGGTAAAATTCAACGAAAATCGCAACCAAATACGCAAATCCCATATTGCACTACCAATACTGTGATATTGGTTGCATACTCGGGTACGATAATTAATTAATACACTGTATTTGTTGGTTATTTAGACTCGTGAAGATTGGAAATATGTTGCGATGGTGATAGATAGGCTCCAGTTGTATATGTTCTTTATTGTGACAACGGCAGGAACCGTTGGGATTTTGATGGACGCTCCTCACATATTTGAATATGTGGATCAAGATAAGATCATCGAAATATACAGGGGAAAATAGGAGTGAAAAAGACGGACGTCTTCGAATTCATATTCAAAAAAAAATCGGCCTTTGTCGCGATGTGAGTAAATATTATAAAGTGAAGTGAGACGACCCCAAGGAGTGCATCAACATTAATCATCAGGAGCTTGGTCGAAAAAGGGACGGGACACTCGAAAATACACCAAATAGATTAATATAAATAAACAAAGAAATATACTTCTTCCATTTTGTAGTAATAATTGAATCAAGGCGGGTCTTAAATTAGTTAACGAGATAAAAAATAAATAAGTAAATAAACGAGTTAGCGCGAGTCCTGTAGGACTGTGTCGAAATACTAAACACTGTCATTTGTTTTAGATTATAGCGAAGTAGGAGAGTGTGATTTGGGCAGTGTTATACTGTACAAGTGAACGAAATGGGCTTTAACACGAAACCAAATAGCTATATAGAGCAAAAACCTCCACTTTTCGAAGGGTCAGTTCGGGTGACGACCTGTGGCTTTTTATCCGTTGTAATTTAACGCGCGGAATGGGTCAAAGCTTCGACCTATTTGTGCTGATCGATAGCTTCCGTGATAACGCCACCGGACGGTTCATCGAAGCGAATATTTGCAGTAGCTTTCACTCAATTGGTTCCTTTGATTAATAAATGAAAATAATATACTCTTCGTTTTTATTTAATGGTTTTATGTTTGGGTTTTTAATCGATTAAATTATCAAAAATAAAAATAATAATCTATGCAAATGAAAGGCTAAGGTCGTTGCTGGAGCGAAAACGAAAACACAAAGGCGCTAGTATAAAAATTAAATGTTATTAACGATTAAAATGTAAACGTAATAAAAATGAATGTTTCCATGTATATAATCATAAATCTAGGGATGGCGTCTTTGTAGTTTAACGTTCACCGTAAGAAGGCAAACTATAAAAATACTACTAGCGGAGTAATAACTAAAATAGTTAAGTAATAGCGGTCTGTACATTATTCTTGCTCAACGAGGTCTGAGGTGTACGCGACAGAACAGAATAATAATATATTTTTCTAAAAGAGGCTTCCGTCGTAGACGTTTAAACTGTTCCCGGATTGAATTTTCTCCGCACCGTTCCCATTTGGTATATTTAGGGTCCTAAGGCAGTTGTGTTTTCTACCAATAGTAAAACGATAAAACAGTTGCTCAAAGGTGAAACTAAATACGAACAAAACAAAAAATAATTAAAATAAAAATACTAAATCGTCTGTACAATAGGCGCTCTCGATAACTTTATACGTATGGTTTTGTACAGCCTTGTATACTTTCTTAAAAAAGTAAAAAAATATGTAATCGATATCACTGAGACAATATTGAAAAGTTAAACGACACATTGCATCCCATTTTCCGTATCTCTTACGTAAGAAACGTTACAAATATGTAGCCGTAGGCGGTTTCGTTCAGGCGAGTGTATGCTGAATCTGAATGGTCTTCCATATTTAAATTTTCAGTATTGTTTTCCTGGTGGTTACCTATCAGATGAGAGATGATATAATATTTTTACTAGGCGCAATAAGTCTATAAGTTTAAGTGTGTGAAAGTGGCCGTGTGTTCGCGTAGTTTGTCGAATCTATTGTGTATTAATTCAGGTGGATAGGTTATTTAAAAAGAACAAAAAAATTATTAAATAAACATTATGGTAAATCTATACCGTATAGCACTGCCTGCATTGTTTCAGCACGTATTGCTTGGAACACCTATTGACTATTAAAATAACAATAATCATTAACCTGTTAAAACGAATGTTAATGTACCAGAAAGACGCATTTACAATAAAAATACACAGAATAATTGTTATTAGTCTTTTATTTAATACCGTATTTTCTCGAATCTTATCCGCACTCGAATCTAATCCGCACCCCGATTTTAAAAATGCATAATGGTAAAAAAATTTAGTGTGCGAATGTAATCCGCATCTTTCTCTGAGCAATTCGACAACAACAAAATGATGCGATGCTTGTTGTTAACCATAAATATATAATAATAATAATATATTTATGCATAGTATACATATATACATAAAATTATTATAAATTAAGCCAGCACAAATTAGGCGGAGTTCAGGTGCAGCCGTAACAGCACCTGCTCTTCCACTCAAACCTAATAAAACTAATTCTAAATATACAAGAGAGAAAAAGAAAAGAAAAACGAAAAGAAAAAGACCCGATGGTGAAATCATAATTAATTACTAAGCGTAAACTGCCCGATCCCTGTCGCCCTACAATGCATTCTGAATTTGAGACAAGCGGCCGTTCACTCTGTGACGAAACAACCTTGAAGAAGTGCAACATTTTATAGTTGATGGCAAATCATTAAGAATATGTGTTATTTGGTATGAAAAGCATTTCTTAAATAGCTGGTGATGATGTATCGGCGGGGTAAGAGTGCCCTTGAATCGAATATTCAAGGTATGAACATCGGTACGAAATTTTATTTTATTGAACAAGTATGGAGGTTTCTTCAAAGTAATTATATTAAAGAACAAAACCGCCGAATGAAGTATGCGCCTGTTTTTCATGTTGAGCCAACTCAAATCCTTTAATTTGTGCGAAACATGCTGACGTCCCCGTAACCCAAATATCAAGCGCAAGCAAGAATTTTGAATTTTCTGAATTTTTTCGTATTACTATACGACAACTGATCATACAATGTATCAAAATAATTAAAATGCGCTAACACAAAGGCCTCGCACAAAAGCACCCTGGTTCTACGATTGAGGAACAACCGACCGCCATAAATCAGCTTAAGAGCAGCATACGCGAAAGCAGTGCACTTATTGATGTGTTTATTAAAGTTTAAATTTTCGTCCAATAAGACACCCAAGTTTTTCACACAATCGTTAAGCGGCAATACTTGATTGTTGACAACTATCTTGACCCGATCTCGAACAGAATTATCACTTATCACCTTTCTTGGCCCAAATAAAATCAGCTCTGTTTTAGCAGCTTTAAGACAAAGGCATTGACGCCTATCATCGACATCCGATGACAGAAAAGATATATATAACTGGGTGTCATCCGCGTAGAAATGATGATTACAACTTTTTATGTATCTGTTAAAATGCGATGTGTAAAGTGAGTATAGCAGTGGACCCAAAATTGAACCCCGAGGAACACCGGACGTTGTCGAAAGAAACGATGAAACGCGACCATTCACCTTCACGCACTGCATTCTGCCCGTCAAGTAACTGTGCAAGAACCTCGATGCAAGATCATCAAACCCAATGTAGCGAAGCATGGCATACATCATGTCATGATTAATAGTATCAAAAGCCTTTGAATAATCTAAGAGACACATCAAAGTCAATTTTCCTTGGTCTGTGCTTCGTATGACATCGTCCACAATATTCGATAGAGCTGTATTACAGCCATAATGCTTTCTAAAACCTGACTGTGTAGGCGATAAAAGGTTGTATTCCGTAACATAGTCCTTTAATTGTAATTCGATTAGTCTTTCTGTAATTTTAATACTAGCAAAGGTTGGACAAACTACAATTTCCCAAAAGCTCCTAATGATTTTCAAAAAAATTTTAATTTGTCTCAAACTGTGAATGCCGACGAAATGGCAGTATATCTGGATATGCCTTCCAATTTCCTTAGAAACGAGTGGTTGTAAAAAATTGTGCATAACATTAGTATGCTAGCAGTAACAAGTGATAGGGAAAAATTGCTGTCATTATTAATATTGAGAAAAAAACCATTCTGAAATCCGAAAGATTTCCCGAATGACGTCTTAGTTAGGGCACAATAAAAGGATGAATAATGGAAAAGCTGATGATGGAATGGTTAAGACAAGTATGGAGTCGTAGATCAGGAACACACATGGAAAACGATCCCTGAAAACAATATTATAACATCATTTAAGAAGTTTTGTATAACCACTGCTTTGGACAGATCCGAAGATGACGTAATATGGGCAGAAAATGATACATAAAAATGTAAATATCGTCTAAAACCCTTAATAGCGTTATTGTTATAATGCGATTTTATTTTACTATTTTCCAAATCGCAACTATACGACTGCGAATCTAATCCGCATTCGATTGTAATCCGCATTTGATTTTAGAGCACATAAAATTTGTAAAAAGGGTGCGGATTAGATTCGAGAAAATACGGTATATATTATCTTTAAACGTTTACCCGAACGTCACATTCAGAGATTTAAGAGGGTGACCTTGAACATGATATGACCCAATATGGCGAGAAAGGTCCAGTCATATTATGATACATTAATATTTATAATGTACATTTATTAATAATAATAATATCATAATACATTAATACAACTATCTAATATATTAAGTAAACATTTTTCTTGTTTTGATGAATTACTTCATCAAAGTCGATCATTTCAAACTTTTCCCTTTTCACACTTAAGAAAGCTAGGTCACTTAGGTGATCTTGTTCCATCGTTGATCGTAGACAAATTAAATGATCAATGGAAAAGTATGCAGCACATTAACAGACACTCCTTCTACATCTACTTGTATGGTATGTCTTGCCAAACCAACGGAAATGAATAATCTGGAGAAGGTAACAACAAGACCATCTCGGGAAGATATCTTTACACGCTTGGATCAGATTTATGGAGTTGGTTCTTCATATCTCGTACAATCTATCATTTAAAAAATGGTCTGCCATTGATCCTTTACACAAGATTGAAAAAGAGACTAAGAAAAACCAAATACAAGACCGATTTAGAGATGAACCTCCAACGATGGTAACACTGTTAGAAGATTCTTTTCTAATCCTTCTTACACAGCAGATATTACAGGAGATTCTTTAAACATTAACCAGCGGAAGAGCCATAGATGCCAAAAAGTTTGGGAAATACGCATATAAAATAGCAGAACTGTATGTAGAGCTATACAGGATGTTTTTCACAGCATTACTGAACCACCACCATGTTTTACTGTTCCCACCAAATTCTTCTTTTTAAGCTCACAATTTGGTTTCCTCCAAACTATTTGCTTTCCATCTGATCCCCAAAGATTAATTTTAGTTTCATCAGTGAACATTACACTTTCCAAAAAGCTTTGAGGCTTATCTAGATGAGCTCTTGCAAAATCCAAGCGCTTTCTTCTATTTATTGCGGATATAACAAGCTTTTTCCGCGCAATGCGCCCATGGAGATCATTCTTTCTAAGCACGCGTCGAATTGTTTCAGTGGACACACTCTTATTTATTATTTTTGAGATCTCTACAGTTAATTTTGGAACTTATTTTTGGATTTATATTAACTTTACGTACAATATTACGTTCATCGCATTCTCAGCACTTTTTGCCTCTGCCAATAAGGGTCTTCCAATAATTTTTCCAATATCTCTAAAGGATTTACCTTTAGAATATAGCTTCACCGCTAGTTTTCTTATTTCTAAAGTTGTTTCTTTTTGTAATCTAGCCATTGTCAAGCAATAAACTAACTCAGATATGCTGTAGAAACGTCAAAATATATTTCAAAGCCTACTGTGATCTATAAAGAGCGTCTTAAATATGTTTTGAAACGGTATACTCAATATTGAGACATTCATATTGGTACCAAGCAATCAAAAGCCCGAGAAAAGTCGGTGTATATCACATCCACCTGTTCTCGACAGTCTAATGCATTCGATACGTACTGAGTGAAGCTGAGTAAGTTGATGGCTATGGATCTACCTTTGCAAAACCCATGTTGTTGGTCAGATATACAGGCCTTAGTGTAAAATTCGATTTTACGTGTTACAATCTGCTCAAAAAGCTTGGAAAAATTATTTATGATGATTTACAATTTCCAGATTTTCGGGAATTCAGAATTTTTGATTATTAAATTGAAAATATGCTGAAGAAGCTGTAATAATACAGGCGCATAGTCTTTGACTATATATGCGGGGATACCATCTGGACCAGTCGTAGTTTTTGCCTTAAATTTCTTAAAAGCTTCCACCATCTCATCAGGACTTACTTCTGAGATGCCGAAAAAAACGCCATACCATCCATCAGCAACTTGGACACCGTTAGGACTGACAAATTAATCACAGTCTGCAGATCGGAAAAAATTTGACCATCGCATTTGAGAATATTTGGTGAGACAGCACTGTTTCTGGTCTCATTAACAAATCTCCAAAAACTCTTTGGGTCTTCCTTTATTTTTTGCTCCAAAGATCTTACGTATTCTCGGCGGTCCTCATGCATATGTGTTTTACAGTCCCGGCGAAGACGGACATATCTTGTTCGATAAAAGGAGTTATTGGTTCGTCTAGATAACTTGTGCTAATAAGTACCACAAAGGATGTTTAGTTTTTATGTGTTTTCCGTTGGTTTTTGGAATATACGCATCCAAGACACTATATAATGTTGTATAGAAAACATCACAGGAGACTTCAACTGATGAGAAAGACAGCAAGTAATTCCAATCAATATTCAACATTGCGCTGTATAGGTCGGGCAGGTTAGCTCTTTTGAAGCAATACTGGGCGTCTCGATATATGTCTTGAACCGTTGAAAACTGAGATGCAGGTATAATTAGAGTTCCCAACAAAGCTGGATAATAATTATCTCCGCGAACCAGAGTAAAATCGGAGTGTATCGCGTGAAGCTTTATGTGTGATGAAGTAAGACTCAGATCGACAGTTGTATCTATGATATTACTCACGTTGTTCACGTGTTCAAGATTATTAAAACTAAAAAGTTACGCAGAGTAGCAGCTCGGTCATCGTTTATGATAGCAAGTGATGGAATACTAAAGTCTCCCAGGATCAAAGTATCTAATGACATATCCAGTGATGATTCAATGTGATCAAATGTACGACCATACATTTCTCCAACTCTTGCACCTACCAAATCAATTAATTCAACTGAGCAAGAGGTCACCACAACTTTTGAAACAGCAATATCACTATCGATGGCCAATAATACTCCACCACCTCTACGATGAAGTCGATCACATCTAAAAACATCGTATTTGTTGGGGAAAAACCTACTTCTTTGAGCCATGTCTCACTAAGCGCGATAATATAGAAACCTGAAGTATTAACTGATGTGAAAAAGTAGTATAGCACATACTATGTCCGTTGGAAGGCAGCTAGTTTTTTCTTTTGACAATTCGAGGATGTCCGTTAAGGAATTGTAAGCGCAAGTCCTTTTCACCATTCTCAATGTTGTCGTGGAGTTCGATCACAATTAATATAAACATTATTGTTAATATTGTAATTATTTTATTTGGAAAACTGGATTATTTTGAATTCAACTTAGTTAATAAGATTGTTGTTAATACATACAGGGTGTATCTGAATGACATGCCCAAACTTCAGGGGGTGATTCTTTAGGCAATTTTAAGGGTACTTTGATATATAAACCATGGGCGACTTGGGCTCCCCTAAGGCGCTACACCCCTCCAAAAATGGCGGAAAATTTTGGTTTAATTTTTTTTTCTCAAAAACCATAAACGCTAGAACAACGAAATTTGGGGAATATGTTTAACTGGTAGTGAGGCACGTTTTCACCCTATTTGGACTTTCAACCTATCCTTCTAAACTACTAAACGTAACCACCCCCTTTACATTTTTGCTAAAATTTTTTTATGCAGAGGGTAAATACATTAAAAAAAAATTACATAGGTAGATGAAAGTATCCTAAAACTTTTTTGTCTCTCTAAAATTTTTCCAAAAACGACTAATTTTTGAGAAAAAAAATAATAAAGCAAACACTGCCCGTTCAACAACGGGGTTGTCGATCAAAAGTTGGAATGAATTTTTAATGAAAAAATCTTAGTAGGCTTTGCAATCTTTGTCAGAAATATTTTTGACGTTTAAATGTCAGTGGTTTTCTTACTATTATTATTGTTTTTCAAATTAATTTATGAATAAAGTTCTACCGCATTTACGCTCGTTCACTCGACGTTTCAAAATTTTAAATAAAACAATAATAATAGTAAGAAAACCACTGACATTTAAACGTCAAAAATATTTCTGACAAAGATTGCTAAGCCTGCTAAGATTTTTTCTTTAAAAATTCATTCCAACTTTCGATTAACAACGCTACAGCTTAACAGTTAGTGTTTGCTTAATTAATTTTTTTCTCAGAAACTATTAACTTTTCGAAGAACATCAGAGAGGCAAAAAAGTTTTAGAATATTTTCGTCTATCTAAATAAAATATTTCCAATGTATTTATCATCGTCATAAAAAAGATCTAGACAAAAATTGAACGGGGGTGGTTATGTTTAGTAACTTAGAAGGGAAGATTGAAAGTACAAATAGGCTCGAAACATGCCCTATTATAAGCTAAACATATTTCCCAAATTTCATTTTCTTGGTGTTAATGGTTTTCGGGAAAAATAAAATAAACCAAAATTTTTCGCCATTTTTGAAGGGGCGTAGCTCCGCAGGGGAGTCGATATCGCTGATAGTTTATATGAGAAAGTACCCTTAAAATTGCCTAACGAAGCACCCCCTGAAGTTTGGGCACGTCATTCAGTATATATCACAAACTTTAAAATAAATTAATAATTATTTGAAATTTTCACAATTATCTATCTTCCATTCCGCTGTATACTCAATTTTGTGAGCAAAAAATGTATTTACAAGTTATTGCGTCGTAGCGTTCTAAGTCCAGGGGCGCACTTCTTTTTTATTTTATGAAAATATTTTTTTTACGCATAAAAAAACAAAAAACAGTTATAGTACTAATTATTGTATACATTTGAGAAATACAAATTTTAATTAAAATGTATTTTCACACATAATATTAAAATTTTTAAATATTACGTTTTAGTAATTTGCCCAAATAATAGATTTGGCAACTAAAATAATCTTATTTTCTATGTATTATGTAACTAAATAAATACGTAACTGTATTTATCCTAAACCATATACATGCTGCCATCTATTAACCTTGAAATATCGATATTAACATGGTAGATATAAAAAGTGTAGCCATCTATCGCCGATTTATGAAATCACGCATGTCACCTAACCTGGATCTAAAAATAAAAACAATACTGCAATAGCAATCTTGGCATTGTATTCCAACCGTCTCGCCGGAAAAATGTAGACAGGTAAACGACGCAATATATGTTTAAATCATCGTTGTGCAACCCATCACGTTTGTAAATAAACCAAATCTGTAGAAGACAACAAACATTTTAAACTAACCTCAACTTTCTCCAAATGAAGGAGATCACAGCAGGTATCCAGTGAGATTGTATACGAAAATGCCTGGAAAGGTGAAGGTAAAGATATTGGCTGGAAGGAATCTTCCAGTCATGGATAGGTCAAGTGATACTACAGATGCTTATGTTGAAATTAAATTGGGTAATATTACATATAAGACTGATGTTTGCCGAAAATCTTTACATCCACAATGGAATTCTGATTGGTATAAATTTGAGGTAAGTTCTTACAAGATTAAAAAATACTTATTAATTACATGGTATATTATAGGTGGATGATTCTGAACTTCAAGATGAACCATTACAAATCAGGTTAATGGATCATGATACATACTCAGCTAATGATGCTATTGGAAAAGTTTATTTGGATTTAAATCCTCTTCTTTTACCTGCAACAAACTTACTGCGCCACAATATAGAAAATACGAACGAACGCAATAATTCGACAATGTCAGGGTGGATTCCCGTTTATGATACAATGCATGGAATCCGTGGTGAAGTTAACATCATCGTTAAAGTAGAATTATTTACTGATTTTAACAAATTTCGATCATCATCATGTGGAGTCCAATTTTTTTGTTGTAATTATAAAACTTTAATTTTTAGTTTTTAATTTAATCATAAAATTATTTAGCGCCTGCGATTCCCCAAGGATTTTATGCACAAATTGTGCACGGTTTTGTGGAAGAACTCGTAGTTAATGATGACCCCGAATATCAATGGATTGACAAAATCCGCACACCAAGAGCCTCCAACGAAGCTCGACAAACCCTTTTTTTCAAGTTATCTGGCGAACTGCAACGAAAAATCGGTCTTAAAGCTTTGGATTTGGGAGGCAACGCTGTAATTGGGTACCGACAATCTTTTGATTTGGAAGGAGATTCCGGAATCGTAGCTAGAGGCATTGGAACAGCTGTTACGTTAATTCGAATACCGGATAATCAATCGGTTATTTCAACGGAAAATAATTATAATGAAGAGTAAGTATTTATTTAGTTAGGTTATGTAAGTGATGTTTTTTTTAGACATTTGTGTATACAGAGTGTTTAGAGTTGGAAATTATATACAGGGTTGTTAAGAAATTTTTGATTTTTTTTATTTTATAGTATAGGGTGTCACAAAAGTCTGGTAACTCGGCGATATTAGTGAAATCGTTCTTTTGATGTCTTGGAAAGTAAACTAAACACATAATACTGGAATAAGAAGTCGTTTTTCTTCACTACGCCGAGGTCGCTTGCGGGCGAGGCGCTACATTTGATAGCACGTAGTCATAAAATTAGTTGAGTTGAGGTTCGTATTCATAATGTATCAATTTCAGCGCCTCGCCACAAGCCACCTTGTCGATATTGATGAAATCGTTCACTTGATGTCTTGGAAAATAAACAGCACACAATACTGGAATAAGAAGTCGCTTTTCTTCACTTCGCCGAGGTCGCTTGCGGGCGAGGCGCCGGGAGGACTGATTTATTATGAAGACAAACCTTAATTCAATGAGTTTTAGAAGTTATAATATCAGCTCTGCCGCCTCGCCCGCAAGCGACCTCGGCGATGTTAGATAAAATCGTGCTATATTCAATTGATGTCTTAGAAACTAAACTAAACACACAATACTGGAATAAGAAGCCGTTTTTTCTCACTTCGCCGAGGTCGCTTGTGGGCGAGAAGCTACATTTGATACCACGTAGTTATAAAATAGTTTAGTTGAGATTCATATTCATTATATCAATTCCAGCGCCTCGCCCGCAAGCGACCTCGGCGATATTGATGAAATCGTTCACTTGATGCCTTGCAAAGTAAACTAAGCACACAATAATCCTAATAAGAAGTCGTTTATCTTCATTTCGCCCAGGTCGCTTGCGGGCGAGGAGACTTAATTCAATGAGATTTAGTATTTAGAAGCTATGATATCAGCTCTGCCACCTCGCCCGCAAGCGACCTCGGCGATATAAGACGAAACGTTCACTTGATGTCTTGGAAAATAAACTAAACACAGAATACTGGAATAAGAAGTCGTTTTTCTTCACTTCGCCGAGGTCGCTTGCGGACGAGGCGCTACATTTGATACCACGTAGTTATAAAATTAGTTTAGTTGAGGTTCGTATTCATTAAGTATCAATTCCAGCGTTTCGCCCACAAGCGACCTCAGCGATATTGATGAAATCGTTTACTTGATGTCTTGCAAAGTAAACTAAGCACACAATAATCCTAATAAGAAGTCGTTTATCTTCACTTCGCCGAGGTCGCTTGCGGGCGAGGCGCCGGGAGGACTGATTTATTATGAAGACAAACCTTAATTCAATGAGATTTAGAAGTTATAATATCAGCTCTGCCGCCTCGCCCGCAAGCGACCTCGGCGATGTAAGACAAAATCGTTCAATTGATGTTTTAGAAACTAAACTAAACACACAATACTGGAATAAGAAGTCGTTTTATTTCACTTTGCCGAGGTCGCTTGCGGGCGAGGCACCGGGATTGATTCATTATGAATATGAACCTTAATTCAATGAGATTTTGTATTTAGAAGCTATGATATCAGCTCTGCCGCCTCGCCCGCAAGCGACCTCGGCGATGTAAGGCGAAATCGTTCAATTGATGGCTTAGAAAGTAAACTAAACACACAATACTGCTAATAAGAAGTCGTTTTTCTTCACTTCGCCGAGGTCGCTTGCGGGCGAGGCGCTACATTTGATAATACGTAGTTATAAAATTAGCTGAGTTGAGGTTCGTATTCATTATGTATCAATTCCAGCGCCTCGCCCGCAAGCGACCTCGGCGATATTGATGAAATCATTCACTGATGTCTTGCAAAGTAAACTAAGCACACAATCCTAATAATAAGTCGTTTATCTTCACTTCGCCGAGGTCGCTTGCGGGCGAGGCGCCGGGATTGATTCATTATGAATATGAACCTTAATTCAATGATATTTAGTATTTAGAAGCTATGATATCAGCTCTGCCGCCTCGCCCGCAAGCAACCTCGGCGATATAAGACGAAATCGTTCATTTGATGTCTTAGAAAGTAAACTAAACACACAATACTTGAATAAGAAGTCGTTTATCCTCACTTCGCCGAGGTCGCTAGCGGGCAAGGCGCCGGGGAGGACTGATTTAATATGAAGACAAATCTTAATTCAATGAGATTTAGAAGTTATAATATCAGCTCTGCCGCCTCGCCCGCAAGCGACCTCGGCGTTGTAAGGCAAAATCGTTCAATTGATGTCTTAGAAACTAAACTAAACACACAATACTGGAATAAGAAGTCGTTTTACTTCACTTCGCCGAGGTCGCTTGCGGGCGAGGCGCTACATTTGATAGCACGTAGTCATAAAATTAGTTGAGTTGATGTTCGTATTCATAATGTATCAATTCCAGCGCCTCGCCCGCAAGCGACCTCGGCGATATTGATGAAATCGTTCACTTGATGTCTTGCAAAGTAAACTAAGCACACAATAATCGTAATAAGAAGTTGTTTATCTTCACTTCGCCGAGATCGCTTGCGGGTGAGGCGCCGGGACTGATTTATTATGAATATGAACCTTAATTCAATTAGATTTTGTATTTAGAAGCTATGATATCAGCTCTGCCGCCTCGCCCGCAAGCGACCTCGGCGATATAAGACGAAATCATTCATTTGATGTCTTGGAAAGTAAACTAAACACACAATACTTGAATAAGAAGTCGTTTATCTGACTGATTTATTATGAAGACAAACCATAATTCAATGAGATTTAGAAGTTATAATATCAGCTCTGCCGCCTCGCCCGCAAGCGACCTCGGCGATGTTAGATAAAATCGTTTAATTGATGTCTCGGAAACTAAACTAAACACAGAATACTGGAATAAGAAGTCGTTTTTAGGCGGGCGATTCATTATCAATACAAACCTTAATTCAATGAGACTTAGTATTTAGAAGCTAATATATCAGATCCACCGCCTCGCCCGCAAGCGACCTCGGCGATTTTAGATTAAATGAATTGAATGAGAAATTATTCGCCGAAGGCGCTGGAACTGATTCATTATGAATGCAAATTTGAACTCTCCTGAAAACGCGCAAAGCAATTCTTGGGATTTTTTGAGGAATCTTTAGTAGCAGTAAGACGAACATGCAAGTTTAAAGCATCGCAAAGTTAGGCCTCCGGACTTTTGTGACAATCCATGAATTCCGAAATTATTAAAAAGTACAATCCTGTATGGTGGTGGGTTTTAAAGTTAGTAATAAATATTTTTTTCTTTATTTCGGGTACAGGCGTGCACATAGTTACGTAAAATTCCTGTGCGCAGATAAAGGCTTTCATCTTAACAAAAAGCCACGAAATCTGCCGCATCTTAACAAATTATTCCATCCCCCATCCTTATCCCGTTCCACACCTTCGCCATTAATAGCTCACAAAAACTTAAATAAATCCCTTTCGACCGGTGAAATAATCCCGAAAAAATTAATAAAACAAAACACCCATATCGAGTTCGCCCCGTTACCAAAGCCTTTAATCATTCAACATAGTAATTCGTTGCAAACACTTTTAAAACAAGAAGATATGCGTGGAGTGCCAAGTACTGGGTTATCTCAACGTTTGAGAAACTTAAAATATCTTCAAATTGGTAAAAAATTAACCGGTTTAAAAGGAAAACGTTCGGCTGTTTCTGAACCGGGAAGCAGCGACGTCGAAAAAAGTCAAAATAAAATTAAGTATCCATTTCGAAGAACGATCAGTGATTCAAATACAATGGCTGAAGTTTTAGTGCGATCAGTCTTACACGTTCATAGTAGTTTAGATTGTATCATGGAAGCTCCAAATCCACCGCAACCAACATTTAGAAAACAAATATCCTTAAACGAATCAACACAAACAAAAGATAGTTCGTATTTATCACTCCCCGATGACTCATTCGATGCTTCTTCAAACCCCTCAGAAATTTCCGATAGTAGTTCATCAGACGATGAAGTTTCTGAGCCAAAAGAAACCACGGTTGAATATGACACAGTGAGCGGAATCGTTAAAAACGTCAGAAGATTAAGTATGTTAAACGAAAATGTTTCCGAAATTAATTTAACTGGAAATTTCGGTGTTATGGAAACTTGTTCCGAAAGTGATATTGAAAACAGTTATAAAGAAAGTACCGTTTCACCCGAAGATGATCAAAAACCATGGGAATTTCCTGATAATAAAGTTTCTTTTACAGTAGGTGATGAACAAGACGTTGAACCTGAAAATAATTCAACTAAAACTGAAAATAATTTAATTTTGCAACCAATAATAAAAGAAGAAGCGAAAGAAAAAAGCTTATTTAAAATTGGTTTAGAAGCTATGCTATTAGATAAAGTAAATCTCATGGGAACATACACCCCCCCAACATCACCATCTATTCAAACTCCATCAAAAAAGTTCGAATTGCCAGAAAAAAATGAATCATTTTTTCCAAAAATTCAAAAAACGTTCGAAAATATACGAAGAAACTCAACCAGCATGTCTCTAATCGATTTAGATAAAACCAACATAAAACGAACGAATTCATTAAATGAAATTTCAAACAGAGGGAAAATACAAAAAGTGAAAAAAAGTGTTTTATCTTTACAGCATCACGATACGGTTTTAGGAGCCCCCTTTATTTCCCTTCGCAACAAACACGTTGAAATGATGACTCGAAATACAAAAAGTAATAGCATAGCTAATTCTCCAACAGAAAACGAATTTAAACACCGATTCACATCTTTGCATAACATTAATATAAAAACATCGGGGCATCATAGCTTTCTAACGAAAGCTGAAAAGAAAGTTAAGGATGTGATTCAAACGCCGTTTTTATTGTTGCAAAATTTGCATTGGGAACGAAAACGAAATGATGAGAAAAAAAGGAATAGTTTAGAACGCGGTTTACTTGGCACGGCGCTTCAAAATGTTTTAAGAGATACCGTTAATGATATTTTAATTACATCACACGTTGGTAAAAATGACGATAAAAATGATATAAATAGTAAAAATGACTCCCAAGAATTATCCATACCTATATTAACGCCAGCATTGCCTACTATCAATATGGAAATTGAAGGCATCACTAGTGCTAATAAGTTGCATGCAAGCTTTTCCCCTTTTGATAGGCCTGTTGGATCACCACAACAATCGGAAACAACCAACAACCGCTACGAACAAGGACATCAACGAACCGAATCGATGGGTGCTAAAATATCACAAAGTCCGGCCAAACTCAACGCTATTTCTTGCATACACAGGAGATCATCCGATTCTGATCTCAGTATTACTCCTAAAGGTAAATTTCTTGATTTATGTTTTATTTAGTAAATTTTTAAAGAGAGGGATAAAAAGATATAATTTTTATTATTCATTATGCACAATTTTTTTTTAATTTAATTAATTTATTTTATTTTCTTTTCGTTTTTTTTCTACACGTAAATTTTAAATAATTTTTTTCTTTTACGGGTCAATTTTAAAGGACTGTTTAGGAAAAGTGAGTATCTCTGCTTGGAACTCTCTGTTGCATCGATGTGTTTTATAATATTTTTGGTTTTAATTTTTATCTTCTATAACCCTCTCGTTTTTCGCGCTATTTTGCGATAATCGACTTATTTAATTTAAACTTAAATTGTTTTTTTTTCTTTTTTTTTTTGGGTCATTAACTAAAATTTTTTTTTAACTAACCGAAGAGGAAATGTACAAAGATATATTTGATCCGAAATCAATCAAAACTATAATTTTTTATATAAAAAATTAGTTTTTTTATTGATTTCGCGTTCTCATATTATTATATATGATTACCTAAACAATTTAAAATTTATTTTACTTAATTAATGTTAGAGTTCTGTGATATCAGTGTTTCTAGACCGCGCTATCGCATAACATTATTTTAACAATAACCACTTTTTGTTAAACATTTTAATAAAATAAAAAATCACTCCGGGAAAGAAACACTGAGCGTTTAAAAAAAACCTAGCTGTTTTTTGCATGTCCATTTTATTTCTCTCATGGTTATAGTTTTTTTTTTGTTGAGGGAACTTGGATGTATAACCGAAAATAGCTAAAATAATACAGTCCATTATTTCAAAACCATCAAGTTTATCTCCTAATGTATCATTTCCGCCGGATAATCATTAAAAAAAAATTTCATTTAATTTTTTTGTGTTAGGAAATAGCCTAACCGGAAGTGACCGATCAACAGGTAACGCTGGGATGCAAATGATGATAAAAAAAGCTTTCGTACGCACAACCGCTCCACACGAAAATTTTGAATATCTCGAATATCCATTTTTAACAATGGCTAGTTATCCACCTGGGTTTATTTGTTATCTTGGTAAGTTAATTAATTAAATTTATTAATAAAATTAATCTTTATTTATTAATTCTTTTAAGGTGGTGTTGTTTGCGCGAGATCAGTTAAACTCCTCGAACGCATAACAAATTTGGAAGAGCCAGAATCGAGAGATACGTGGTGGTCCGAAATTCGCATGGAAATCCGGTCGCACGCCAGATCATTAAGTTGTAACGCGGTGTTAAATTACATGGAAACCACCACGATTTGCGACGACGTTTGCGTATTGAGCGCCTCAGGAACCGCCGCTGTGATCGGTTTTCATTATTCTAGTCGCGATAGTCTTAGTAGATTACCAAGTTTATCTAGACACCAAACCAAAGATGTTAATGAAAGATTAGATGAACACAAAAAATCAGAAAACGTTAATGTAACTAACACATACAATGCGTTTCAAGTCGAATCATTTATTTTCAATTTATTTTAGATTCCAAAAAATTTATCTGAAAGTCCCGACAGAGATTCCTTGCCTAATTTGGGGATGTCTAATCTTCAATGCTCAATTTGTCACGTTCCTTATTTAGGAACTGTTAATGTTAGTTCTGTTTCAAAGTGTCGAATGTGCAAGTAAGATTTGAAAAAGAATGTAAATTAAGGTTAATGGGAAATGATGACTACTTTAAATTAACACAAATTAATCAAATTTATTTTGATTAAAAAATTATTATTATGAAATTTAAATCAAATTGTATAACCGGAAGTGGTACTTTATCTGACCACATAACAATTTTTTTAAATTTAAAATTTGTTAGAATTTTCATTTCCCATTTTTTACTGAATTTCAAAGATACAAATCATAAAAAAAAATCTTTTAGCAACGGAAAAGTACCAGAAGTATTAATAACAACGATAGAAATTCCTGAAGGAATACCAATAATAGGTCGTGGTTGTTTTTTGCAATCATACGTTTGTCGGCCTATTAAGGAATTAAAAGGTGAATCATACGCTAAAGAAATATCTGATGGTCTTCCATTTTTGGAATACGAATTACATCGAATTTTGATAAATAAGTTAAAAGTGAAGGGGATGAACGCTGTTTTTGGGTTGAAAGTAAGGATTTCAATCGGAGAAAAGATGGTTATTGGGATAGCGACGGCGACTGCCGTGTTTTTATCGGCTTTACCAACGCCTCCTTTACCCAAATTAGTTTCTGATCGATCATCCGATGATAAAAAATTAGCTAATTTGCAAAAAGAATTGCACGAAACTGTTCAAAAGAATAAAGAGGTTTATCAGATTAAGTCAATTAAATACGACGATGATTTTTCAAATGGAAGGAATTTATCCGATACTGAAGAATCTGAAGATGAACAGCCTATAATTGAAATAAATTCAGGAAAAGATTGTTGCGTTTTAGAAGTAAGATTAAAAAATTTCAAATTAATTTGTATGTAATTAATTAATATGTAGATTGAAGACCCAGAAGATGCGGAAGTTTTAAATTTATTAATAGACGCACGTCCACCAGATGGTTTTCACGTAGTTAACACGGAAGTTGTTCCCGGTTTGGAAGATTTAGAAATAGTTAAAAACCTTCAAATGTTTATACAAATATGCCGAGAAAAAATTCAACCTCCTTATAGCATAGATAAAAGTTTTCATCGATTACTTGAAACCGTTTATTTCAAATTGCGCAGAATGATTCCTTGCGCATTATGCGATTTACAATTCCGGGTTGAAAGCCCCGAACCGGATGAAATTCAACTCTGCGTTGTAGGTAACAATTAAAAAAAATCGAAAATTAATTCGGTTGTGATTCTTCATTTATTTATTGTAGGGATGGCTCTTGGGTTGGGCGATCCACCGAAAGGTGTTATTAAACGGAAGCTGAAACCGATTCTTTCAAAACGAAACGAAGAGGAGTTAATTTTTAATTTAGAAGAAATTAATCAAATACCAGAAAACAGCGTTTTTCAAACGCCACCTCATTCTACACTGTTACACGGCCAATTATCGAAACATCGGCAAAAATCGCCGCAAAGAAAAAAACAAGCTACTCAAAGACATGTAAGATTCAATTTTATTTTTATTAAAGACTAAAGAATATTTTTTTAGATGCCGCATCGTGAGAGACATGGGGTTGATATAACACCGTTATCTTATGTGCCTGGAGGTCAAATTGAGAGGTATCTAGGTAAATTAAATTTTTTCTTCATCCGAGAAACGACGTCGATACGCGAAGAAGGGGGAACGAGTGGATTTATCCACAGTTTTATAACTGAAATTTTGGCTATTGTAAGGGCGCATGTCACGGCTTTGGGAGGAAACGCTATGGTTGCTTATTTTATGACGGAATGTGTTTTAAATCATAATCCCCATAAAAATCAGGTAAAAAAATAAAACATTTCTTAATTATTATAATAATTATATTATTTTTTTTTAAGGGACAATGTTTAATAAATATTGGAGGAGATGTGGTTCATGTTTCTTACTATTCAGGTGGTGAGCAATGAAGAGTGTTATTTTTTTGAATAAAAAAATGATAGGAAAATATTTTAATGACGATGAGTATTTTAAATAAATAAATATCTAATTTTATATGGTTAAAGCTAGTCTTAAATTTTCGTGTACTTAAAAACGTTGTATTTATTTATTTATTGTTGCAAAAAAAATAAAGAAAAACAACCAAGTTAATTCAAAAAACTGTTTTGTTGGGATTGTCTTGTTTAAAACTTTTTTCAGTTTCTTTTTATATTTTAAGACAGTTGGATTGAGTTTTTATTTTTAAAGCCGTTTATATTTTTGTACTTAATTGTTAGTACAAATTATAAGTTAAATTAAATTATTTATTGAAAATAATAAAAAAATTGTTTTTATTTCTTTTACAACTCCAATTAAATTTAAATCAAATAAAAATTTTAACTCGACACTTATTTTGGTCGATGGGTCGAGATAATAAAAAAAAATATTAAGTGCTTGAATTTAGTATATATATTTTAATTTATCTTTTCACAAATACTTACAGTAATAATTTTTAATTAACTTCAGTAACATTAAATAAACAGATTAGTAACAAAAAAAATAAATAGCACGTTTTTCGGCCAAAAACGTTTCATATAAAAAAATAATCATCATCTTCAGTCCATTTGAAATGAAATCGAAGAATGTTCTTCTTCACGTTGATATGCTGAAAATGAAAATAAAGGTCCAGGAAAGGATGGAGGCGAAGCGTTGATTGATTAGGATAGTAATGAAATTTAGAGCCCAAATCGTTTCCCGAAACGCAGGAACACGTGATCGACATCCTGTCTCTTGATGCCGCGCTCTGTGAGTCTATTCGCAATCATGTCACCTAGATATCACGAAAAAATCACAAAAATGTGGCGATTTAGTTTTAATTAATTCTCTTACTGGTGTTTTCTTGTAAAGGTTCTGATCTCAAACTTTCCATAACATAATAGCAAAGCTGCCGGATGTTAGTTGGTGCTTCGGACATTGAATTTGGCTCGCAGTTGATAACGGGTAATGAAAATACTGATGTTGAAACGCAGAAGACAGTTGCAGCGATAATCGCGAAAATTGCGCTGTTGAACTGACTCATACTAAAAAATAAAATTTTTTTAAAAAATAACTAAAGAATTATAATCACGTAGAGATGGGGAAAAGCTTATGTAGAATTCATGACGCTAATGGAATTTAAATTTTTATCCCCATTCTATCTTAATACTCGGATTTTACTACTACTCATTGTATCCGAGTTTCAAGGAAGGCGTCTCGTATCAAAGAGCACTCGTCAAAATATAACAATATCGAGCACACCAACGATACGAATGCATAATGGAATCGTTTCCGCAACCGCAGCTCTTCATGACAAGCGCGTTCCTTTAATGATACATCAAAGGAGCACGCATCTTGTTATGATCAAACGATTTTTATATTGCAAACGGCATCGTTTGTGTTTACTCGATTTAAAAAAATTAATTTATTACTTTTTATATTATTACCAAAAAAGAATATTTTGAAACTTTTTTGAATACGAGAACTTTTTGTATAAAAACCAAAATTATAAATTAAAATTATAAGAAAGATTTAGATTGATTTTTTATTTAACTTACTTGAGATGTACGGGATGTCTTTATTCTTCAGTAGTTGTAACTTTAAGTAAAGTTCTTGCACTTTGAACCGTAGTTGGATTCTGTGTGCTTGAGGTGCGTTTGCGGAGTTCTTTTATAGGGGCGCTTCGCCGTTTCGCGCGTGTCTGCAATTCCCGCTCCCCTTATCCCCGAATCAAAAAAATAATACACACCATCCGCCTCCGTGAAGTTTCGAACGTAGGGCCCCACTTCATGACAAGACCATTAACAGGACGTAATAATTGACAAGCGCAAGTAGCTCGAAGATAACGGATTAATAATACATAACAATCGGTGAATCACCGTAAAATATAATAATTTTTTTTCACAATAAAATATTGTAGTAAACGTAATTAAAAAAAAAATAATTGTTGAATTAAAGTTCATTAAATTCTTCTCTAAAAAAACGAAAACAATAACAAAATTATAAAATAGAACATTTTCAAGAATTCTCAGAAAGAAGAATATGTATCCCAAGTGAATATCGAGCAATAAAGGTATCAAAAGGCACTTGAAACAAGCCTTTGTGATCCCCTATTTCATTATATACAGCACCTGAGTATTGGAATTCGACGAGAACCATGTTGAACAGTAAAAACTATTTTTTTATATTTATTTTACAACACTACAAAACTTACCCCTTATTTCCTCTCTGCCTTTTCAATATCATACGATTGAGGTGTTTCCACAGATTCCGGAACAACGCTAATTTCTTCTAAATTTATTTTCGAAGACTTTGAATCACTTTTTTTAGGCGTTTCGGGTTGACTCGTGGATGATACCTTTTTATTAACTTTATCCTGAAAATTAAAAACCAAATAATGTTATAGTATATATAATTTATGAGTTGTTTTTCATTGATATGTTCTATTCTATGAAAATGGTCTAATTATCAATTATAATTTTTGAATAACTTATTTATGTTAATCATAATGGTGATTTTTGCTTTATAACTAGAAAATGGTGATAGTTAAGCTGGAACTGATTATGGATTATGCTTGCTTGGTTCAACACGAAAAATTTTAATGTATGTCATGGAACTCCATCGATTATAATTTTTAAATTAAATCATCCATTTCGGCGATTTTTTTTTACTTCTAGAAAATAGTGATACCTAGGGTAGAATTAATTATGGATTTTACTTATTTAGTGCAATACGAATAATTTTGACACACGCCATGGTACTCTCCCGCTTGTAATTTATGAGATCTCTTAAATTATTTAATCTAAACCACCCGTAAAGGAGATTTTTGCATTTTTTGCTTTATTTCTAGAAAATAGTGATAGCCATGCTACAATTAATTATGAATTATGTTTGTTAGGTGCAATTTGAATAATTTTGATACATGCCATGGTACTCTATCAGTTATATTTTTGGAGCAATATTGTGATATTTAATATAAACCATCCATAAAGGAGATTTTAGTGATTTTTGCTATATTTCTAGAAAATGATGATTGTCAATCTGGAACTGATTATGGATTATGCTTGCTTGGTTCAACACGAACAATTTTAATGCATATCATAGAACTCCATCGATTATAATTTTTTAATTAAATCATCCATTTCGGCGATTTTTCCTTTACTTCTAGAAAATAGTGATACCTAGGGTAGAATTAATTATGGATTTTGCTTATTTAGTGCAATACGAATAATTTTGATACACGCCATGGTACTCTCCCGCTTGTAGTTTATGAGATCTCTTAAATTATTTAATCTAAACCACTCGTATCCGAGATTTTTGCATTTTTTGCATTATTTCTAGAAAATAGTGATAGCCACGCTACAATTAATTATGGATTATGTTTGTTAGGTGCAATTTGAATAATTTTGATACATGCCATGGTACTCTATCAGTTATATTTGTGGAGCAATATTGTGATATTTAATATAAACCATTCATAAAGGAGATTTTGGTGATTTTTGCTATATTTCTAGAAAACGATGATTGTCAATCTAGAACTGATTATGGATTATGCTTGCTTGGTTCAACACGAAAAATTGTAATGCATGTCATAGAACTCCATCGATTATAATTTTTAAATTAAATCATCATTTCGGCGATTTTTCCTTTATTTCTAGAAAATAGTGACACCTATGCTAGAATTAATTATGGATTTTGCTTATTTAGTGCAATACGAATAATTTTGATACACGCCGTGGTCTCTCCCGCTTGTAGTTTATGAGATCTCTTAAATTATTTAATCTGAACCACCCGTAAAGAAGATTTTTGCATTTTTTGCTTTATTTCTAGAAAATAGTGATAGCCACGCTACAATTAATTATGAATTATGTTTGTTAGGTGCAATTTGAATCATTTTGATACATGCCATGGTACTCTATTAGTTATATTTTTGGAGCAATATTGTGGTATATAATATAAACCATCCATAAAGGAGATTTTGGTGATTTTTGCTATATTTCTAGAAAATGATGATTGTCAATCTAGAACTGATTATGGATTATGCTTGCTTGGTTCAACACGAAAAATTGTAATGTATGTCATAGAACTCCACCGATTATAATTTTTAAATTAAATCATCCATTTCGGCGATTTTTCTTTTATTTCTAGAAAATAGTGACACCTAGGCTAGAATTAATTATGGATTTTGCTTATTTAGTACAATACGAATAATTTTGATACACGCTATGGTACTCTCCCGCTTGCAGTTTATGAGATTTCTTAAATTATTTAATCTAAACCACCCGTAAAGGAAATATTTGCATTTTTTGCTTTATTTCTAGAAAATAGTGATAGTCACGCTACAATTAATTATGGATTATGTTTGTTAGGTGCAATTTGAATAATTTTGATACATGCCATGGTACTCTATCAGTTATATTTTTGGAGCAATGTTGTAGTATTTAATATAAACCATCCATAAAGGAGATTTTGGTGATTTTTGCTATATGTCTAGGAAATGATGATTGTCAATCAAGAACTGATTAAGGATTATGCTTGCTTGGTTCAATACGAAAAATTTTAATGCATGTCATAGAACTCCATCGATTATAATTTTTAAATTAAATCATCCATTTCGGCGATTTTTCCTTTACTTCTAGAAAATAGTGACACCTAGGCTAGAATTAATTATGGATTTTGCTTATTAATGCAATACGAATAATTTTGATACACGCCATGGTACTCTCCCGCTTGCAGATTATGAGATCTCTTAAATTATTTAATCTAAACCACTCGTAAAGGAGATTTTTGCATTTTTTGCTTTATTTCTAGAAAATAGTGATAGCCACGCTACAATTAATTATGAATTATGTTTGTTAGGTGCAATTTGAATAATTTTGATAGATGCCATGGTACTCTATCAGTTATATTTGTGGAGCAATATTGTGATATTTAATATAAACCATTCATAAAGGAGATTTTGGTGATTTTTGCTATATTTCTAGAAAATGATGATTGTTAATCTGGAAATGATTATGGATTATGCTTGCTTGGTTCAACACGAACAATTTTAATGCATGTCATAGAACTCCATCCATTATAATTTTTAAATTAAATCATCCATTTCGGCGATTTTTCCTTTACTTTTAGAAAATAGTGATACCTAGGCTAGAATTAATTATGGATTTTGCTTATTTAGTGCAATACGATTAATTTTGATACACGCCATGGTACTCTCATGGTAAACCACCCGTAAAGGAAATTTTTGCATTTTTTGCTTTATTTCTAGAAAATAGTGATAGTCACGCTACAATTAATTAATTATGGATTATGTTTGTTAGGTGCAATTTGAATAATTTTAATACATGCCATGGTACTCTACCAGTTGTAGTATGGAAGATTAATTTTTTATCATATTAATAAATTAAGTAATACTAAAAATGTTTCGATTTTGGTGAAAAAAAAACCATAAAAGAAAAAAGATATTGTAAAGTGATGGAAACAATGCACCTTAATAAATTTGATCAAAAGATCTGACGAAAAGTTTCGGATGTAAAACCTAAAGGATGTAAAGTAATACTACGTCTTTAAAAGTCTATGTAAAGGGATATTTTGAGTAGTGTCTCTAAAGTTTCACAGGACACTTCCTTAAAGGCGTTAAAACTGTAAAGGGGAAACACGAGATTTAACGGTTTTTGCATTTGGTTGTGGGGGAAAATCGGTTAGGCAACGTTATGGAGTAATGACGCGTAAAATCATAGAATTCATAAATATAGAAAATATCGAGTCGTACGTCACCGGAAAATAAACCTATGCGCATACATGAATCGGAAAGTTACGATAAACGCATCTAAATATTTATGCCATTAATTTTGTCGTAGTCGTCGTGGTATTCAATAAAACAAGGAAAACCGATTAAACTGGAACTTTTATGGGAAATATAAGAATTGATGGATGGGCCATAAACCTTAATTGACGAAAGAAGTTGTATTCATTGTCAATTATAGGTGTCGTCATTCGATATTGTTTATTAAGGCGAGGAAACATTTTATTCGACACATTATTAAATTTCTTTGGTTCATTATATTTAGCTGGCGACTTGATATTAAACTTCCTATGACATAATTTATATTAAACTATACTCCAGAACTCAATTAGTGTTTTATTTTAATTTTATTATTTTAAAGTAAAGTTTGGAGAAGTTAATGAAAGCTTTTTACAACGTTAGTGGGTGTCTAATATTTGCTTGTTGTAGTCGTAAATTCTAAATCGGTACCTAGTCCATAGAGAAATAAGTTAATAAAGTCTGTTCGATTTGAATCTGACCTTGTTATCGTTTCCGTGTGGTGAATAGAACCAAGGTCAGATTATAACAAATGGGAGAAACATCAATCTGTTATTTTTGAGGTTTTTGTGGAAGAAGCGAAGCGAAGGCGAGTTCAGTCAATATTGATATAAAAGACTGCGATTTCAGAAGGACAATATCGAGATCGTCGCGGTGGTAGCATGGAGGAAACTTTCAATAACCCGCTGATTGCAACATCAAACCCCTTCGGTTGTGGGGAAGTTTAAAGTCCCACTTTAAACGATCAAGACGACAAACGTCGAATATTTAATGTTGTCACGTTAACGATAAACAACAATTATTTCTTATTACCTGACGGAAGCGAGAGTTCGATTTTCAATTCCGCGCAAATTATAATTCATTCGGGCCTGGGTGAATGACGTCACTTCATCAGGAGGGGACGTTTTTGGAAAAAATGTCGACGTCAAAGGCCAGTCATTCAAATAACGCTACTGTTACTGTAACGGCAATTTTACTAAAACGGAAAGATAAAGAACATGTCATCTACTATGCGATGCCACTAACATATGGGCCTTTATCTAAACTTCACGGCGTAATGGATTGACTACCCATTTTTGTGTCAACGATATTTATCCGTGGTGCAACCAGGATGTACGACGATGTCGCATCCTATTGAAAATATTTATTCTATAACTTTTTCGACGAATACAAATTATCTAAGGTGGTAAAAATAGAGATGAAAGGAAATGAAAAGTTTATTATAATTTAAAAACTTATATAATTATTCGGTTAAATCCGCGGCGATTTTAATTCCGCCTCGAGAGATTTTGTTTATTTAAACTTGCAACCACCACATCAAAGCACCTTAATTTTCAGATTTTCACAAATTTTAAACTCATTTTCAAATAACCCTTAGAAATATGTTTTTTTAAATATACGCTTGTCTTTTTATACCTATTAAATGAAAGATTTAATAAACCAAGGGACCAAATAAGATGAAACTCTCCCAGGTCAGCAAAAAGCTGTTTCAGGGAAGCAAATGTGCAAGGCGCGGTCCAATTTCAGTTTCTCCGGACATACCGAGTGACGTAAACATCTCACCGTGAAATGAGACTGTGTCTAGGGCTTCAAGATCGTAAATAAAATCAAGGCAAGGAAAGGGAAAAAATCTTTCATCTTCCCCAAGCTAACGCGCCGGACACAGCTTGCGGGAAAGTAGGGTATAATTGTTATGGAAAATCCGCGAACATCAAAGTTCAGAGACACCTTACAAGATGAGCCGTAGCTCTTTGTTGCCGCGACGACCCTCTTTACCATCGCCTCCGCATTATTTCAGATTTAATCTTGGCTATGTTAACTAAACTTACTCTGAACGTGATAGGTGGCTCTACGTTTTTAATCACTTTTAACCACAACGTTACTTGTACACATGTTTTTCATTAATCTTTCGTCAAAATTGACGTTCAAAATAAATTATAATATATTTGTAATAAAACCACAACTTATTAATTTCATAACTACACATAATATCTTATGTGTTAATATACTTTCTTGGGACTAGTACATATAACACAAATATAATTGATAAAAAAAAATCTACATCAGTGTAATCCATCAAGGATGCATCAATAATTCAGATAATAAAATATTATATTTTGGGACGGCAAAAGTTAATCAGGAGATGTATTAATTAATTAATCAGGAGTAGTTTTGGTTTAATCTGGCAAAATCTTACATTGTCTATTCTGTATTTAGCCGAGGTCGCTTGCGGCCGAGGCAATATAATGCATGTTGTTCAATTTAGATTCGGTTTAATATGAATTCCAACGCCTCGCCCGCAAGCGACCTCGGTTTAAGCATTCTATTTGAAGTCTAGCCGAGGTCGCTTGCGACCGAGGCAGTATATTATATCTCGTTTAATTTGTGTCGTATTGGCATGATTTGCTGCGCCTCGCCCGCTAGTGACTTCGGCAAAAGCAGGCGAACGAATATATATTCTATTCCAAGTTTAGCTGAGGTCGCTTGCGACCGAGGCAGTATAATATATCTCGTTTAATTATTGGCGGATTAAGTTTAGCCGAGGTCGCTTGCGACCGAGGCAGTTAATATATCTCGTTTAATTATTGGCGGATTAAGTTTAGCCGAGGTCGCTTGCGACCGAGGCAGTTAATATATCTCGCTTAATTATTGTCGGATTGGTATGAATTGAGACGCCTCGCAAGCAAGCAACCTCGACTTAAGCTGGCAAACGCTTATATGTTCTATTCTAAGTTTAGCCGAGGTCGCTTGCGACCGAGGCAGTATAATATATCTCGTTTAATTAGTGTCAGATTGGTATGATTTGGGGCGCCTCGCCCGCAAGCGACCTCGGCTTAAGCACGCGAACGCTTATATTTTGTATGTTAAATTTAGCCGAGGTCGCTTGCGACCGAGGCAGTTTAATACATCTTGTTTAATTAGTATCGGATTGGTACGATTCGGGGTGCCTCGCCCGCAAGCGACCTCGGCTTAAGTACGCGAACGCTTATTTTTTGTATCTTAAATTTAGCCGAGGTCGCTTGCGACCGAGGCAGCATAATATATCTCGTTTAATTATTATCGGATTGGTATGAATTGGGACGCCTCGCAAGCAAACAACCTCGGCTTAAGCTGGCAAACGCTTATATGTTCTATTTTAAGTTTAGCCGAGGTCGCTTGCGACCGAGGCAGTATAATATATCTCGTTTAATTAGTGTCAGCTTGGTATGAATTGGGCGCCTCGCCCGCAAGCGACCTCGTCTTAAGCACGCGAACGCTTATATTTTGTATCTTAAATTTAGCCGAGGTCGCTTGCGACCTAGGCAGTTTAATATATCTCGTTTAATTAGTATCGGATTGGTATGATTCGGGGTGCCTCGCCCGCAAGCGACCTCGGCTTAAGCACACAATCACTTATATTTTGTGTTTTAAATTTAGCCGAGGTCGCTTGCAACCGAGGCAGTTTAATATATTTCGTTTAATTAGTATTAGATTGGTATGATTCGGAGTGCCTCGCCCGCGAGCGACCTCGGCTAAGAAAGAAATCTATGACTTCGCCTGGTTAAGCCGAGGTCGCTTGCGGGCGAGGCAGTATAATATATAGTTATATATATTATCACAAATACACTGTTGGAAATAATTCACGAGCACACCCTGTATAATCTGAACGAGTGATGATAAACCCATAATATTTTCGGAACATAAAGGTTTACTGTAGACGAGTTTATTCGGCGAGTTTCGAGTTTTTCTGTCGCAGCATTGTTGACTGAGCCCAAGGTTTGTATATAAGAGGTTGTCTAGGTTTATACGCAACCATACTGCGCATTACGTCATTGGCTATTAACATTCCATTTGAAGTCTAGCCGAGGTCACTTGCGACCGAGGCAGCATATCTCCTTTAATTTGTGTCATATTGGCATGATTTGCTGCGCCTCGCCCGCTAGTGACTTCGGCAAAAGTAGCCGAACGAATATATTTTCCAATTTAAGCTTCGCCGAAGGCGCTTGCGACCGAGGCAGCATATATATCTCGTTTAATTATTATCGGAGTAAGTTTAGCCGAGGTCGCTTGCGACCGAGGCAGTTAATATATCTCGCTTAATTATTGTCGGATTGGTATGAATTGGGATGCCTCGCAAGCAAACAACCTCGGCTTAAGCTGGCAAACGCTTATATATTCTATTTTAAGTTTAGCTGAGGTCGCTTGCGACCGAGGCAGCATAATATATCTCGTTTAATTATTGTCGGATTAAGTTTAGCCGAGGTCGCTTGCGACCGAGGCAGTATAATGTATCTCGTTTAATTAGTGTCAGACTGGTATGATTTGGGGCGCCTCGCCCGCAAGCGACCTCGGCTTAAGCAAGCGAATACTTATATTTTGTATTTTAAATTTAGCCGAGGTCGATCAGCAGAGTTGCGCCGCTCTCCATGTGAGAGTAAGTTACACTACTTTAGTACTACTTCCATACCAAATTTCATTACGCTAGACAAACGCGTTCAGATTATACTGGGTGTGCTCGTGAATTATTTCCAACAGTGTATTTATAATAAAATCAATACAATACACTATCATAAAATTTTTGAAAACTGCCCAGATATATTTTGGCCAACACAATAAACTCCAAAAAAGGTGTAATCGGAGGACACTAATTAACTCCCCTTTTTAATAAGGTTTAATACAACAAAATCTTTATCACAAAATTGGTGCAAATTTTACCAAATATGTGTTTGGTTTATGCCACATTCTAGCGTTGAAATTACTGTATAATCAGCTTCTAAATCCTTGCTCTTAAAATTTAATGAAGTCCATTATCCAGAAATACTGCTCAAATATATGCAAGAATTAATTTATATCTTTATTCCTTGATTAAAAATATTATGTTATATATATAATTAGTAATCTTAATCTATATGGCATAATTTCATTTTAACATAAACATCAAAAATAACATTTGATAAAAATCGTTTTAAAATTTGTTCCAAAAAATAACATATATAGGTGGAAATATTTAGTTGAGTTTTATCCCAGGAGAACGTATGCCCAGTGGATTCCTATTGAAAGTAATAATCAGAGTTCCTATAGAAACGCGTTGCAATGAAATGGTGGAATCAGACGGGTCATAGTTATCATTTGGTATTGCAACGACCTTTGTGACGTGTAGTTTGAAAAAAATGAAAAATTTGCGTATTGACGGCGTGTGTCCCCCGCGAAAGCACCAAGTCAAAGTTCGCGGTTCGTTCGCGACATTCGTACGATTTTCGGAAGGCCAGTCAATAATGAATAAAGTGTTAATTTGAATCGTGGTTACTTTGGAGGGGGACAATTATACTTTTAAAGTACGAATGACTTTCGTTATAATCATATTACGTTAGGACGACGTACAGCAGTGTTGAGTAGAACAAAATGTTTAACGTGGAAATTAGAAAACATAATACTAGCTCATTTTATAACGAGGGTAAGTATTTTTTTTGCGAAAAATTTTACCTATCCAACTTAAGGGTATGTATTTGTATAATTAAACAATGCGGCACCGGTCAAACAACTGATTAAAAAGTTCATTAAAATGAACGGAGTTTTTATCGCTTTAGCGTTACATCGTGTGTGCCGTATCACAAAATTGCATTATCGGCTAAACATTAATTTAAAACAAAATCAATAGCGTTCTAAAGCCGGCTGTAAATATTTATTCGTCTCCTTTAACGATCGCAGCTAAAGAAAAATATAATAACAAACGCTACGAGGAACTCCACAAAAGATCGATCGAACAACCCGAAGAATTTTTTGCGGATATCGCCAACACTGTTCATTGGACGAAAAAATGGGATCGCGTTTTGGATAATTTCCATCAACCGTTCACCAAATGGTTCGTTGGTGGCGAATTAAACGCTTGTTACAACGCGGTTGATCGTCATGTTGAATCAGGAAAAGGATCAAAAGTCGCACTAATTCACGATAGTCCATTAACTCAAACCATCCGGAAAGTTACATATGCTGAACTTTTGGATAAAGTAATTAAAATCTGTTTTTAAATTAATTTTATCAAATTCAATTTTTTTAAATTAAATTAATTAAAATCAATTTGTTAGGTTTCGCATTTAGCAGGTGGGTTAGCAGCTTTAGGAGTAAAAAAAGGTGATCGTGTACTTATCTATATGCCACTAATTCCCGAAGCGATTATGGCAATGTTAGCAACCGCTAGACTTGGTGCTATTCATTCTGTGGTTTTTGGTGGATTCGCCGCCAGAGAACTTTGCGCTAGAATTGTTCACGCGGAACCGAAAGTTATTATCGCAGCGAGCTGTGGAGTGGAACCTAATAAAATCATTAGGTAAATGTATCTTTCTATGTATAGATGTCGCCATGTACTTGGGAAAAAATATATATATAAATAAAGATTAGGTTTTATATTTTAGTTACAGATTTCTTGTTTTAGATATAAAGATATCTTAAATGAAGCAATCGAATGCTCGTCTTATAAACCTGAAAAATGTGTTATTTTCCAAAGAAAAATCGAAACTGCACCGTTAGATTTAGACATGGATATACTTTGGGATGATGTACTTACATTAGCTGGGCCCCATGAATGTGTATCTATCGAAGCTAATGAGCCACTTTATATTTTATACACTTCGGGAACGACGGGTAATAAAGAAATAAGTTAATTAATGTTTATTAATTATTTTTTTAAAGATGACCCAAAAGGAGTACAAAGACCAATAGGTGGGCATATAGCTACATTAACTTGGACAATGTCGGTGATTTACGGGATGGGGCCGAATGATGTATGGTGGGTTGCTAGTGATTTAGGTTGGGTTGTAGGTCACTCTTATATTTGTTATGGTCCCCTTTTATACGGAATAACAAGCGTCATGTACGAAGGAAAACCTGATAGGACTCCAGATCCGGGGCAATATTTTAGGATAATCGATGAGCATAAAGTTAATGCAATCTTTACGGTTCCCACATCGTTTAGAGTAATAAGAAGGGAAGACCCTAAAGCTAGCTTTGGCAAGATGTATTCCACGAAATCGTTAAAAAAAATTTTTATAGCTGGGGAACATTGCGATTATGAAACGAAAATGTGGACCGAAAACACGTTTAGAGTACCGGTTTTGAATCATTGGTGGCAAACTGAAACTGGGCATGCAATTACTGCTACTTGTATTGGGTTGGGTCATAGTTTAAAACCGCCGAAACATTGTGCAGGACTTCCTTTCTTAGGATATAACGGTTAGGTGAAAATAAAAAAAATTCAATAAATTTATTTTACAACAATTTTAGTTAAGGTGGTTAACGAAGATGGCTCCGAGTCCAAACCGCTTGAATTAGGAAGAATTGTCGTAAAACTCCCACTTCCCCCAGGGACTTTATCGACTCTTTACCAAGCTCCAGAACGTTTTTGCCAAATTTATTTTAGCAAATACCCGGGATATTACGACACGATGGATGCCGGTTATAAAGACGAATTTGGTTACGTCTTTGTAACCGCTAGAGATGACGATATCATCAACGTTGCGGGTCATAGACTATCTACTTTCGCCATTGAAGATGTTATTTTCGCACATCCCGATGTAATCGACGCAACTGTCGTTGGAGTTCCTGAACCTACTAAAGGGGAGGTACCTTTGTGTTTATTTGTGATGAGAAATCGTAAGTTTAATCCTATATATATTAATAAATGTATCTAGACATTACGGGGTTTTCTAGATGCTAAAAAAAATGAAGATGAGATATGCAGAGATTTAATAAGAATGGTGAGAGAAATGATAGGGCCGATAGCTTCGTTTAGATTGGCCGTGGCGGTGAAAGGATTACCAAGGACGAGATCTGGAAAAGTGTGCAGAAAAAGTATAAGTAACATGGCGAAGGATCAAGAAGTGAAGGTGAAATAAGACACCCCGATGATAATATATTCATATATTTGTCTTTATTTTATTTTTTTAGATCTCTGGAACTGTAGAAGATCCAACTGTTTATAAAGATATTAAAAGTGTTCTTCAAAAATTGGGCTTCGCAATTTCAGGGCCCGATCCACAATAAGAATGTGACACAACAAAAAAATTTAAGCATCTTGTCATTATATAGTCTATAAATAGCGTAATTTACAGTTAAATGGAATAACAATAAACGTTCTTTTTTACAATATGAAACCCAATCAATTGAGTAAATACAAAGGTCTCCTTTAGTTGATCCAAGAATAGGACGACAGATATATAGTTAATAGTATATATGTATATGAAGAATCTTCGTCGCTAGTTTATACTATATATATACATATATAGCGTGATTGGGTTTACGAAAATAAAATTCAAGGTATATTTGTATATGCGTGATTATATTTAAAATTTTACGTTTAATATGAAAATATTCATAGCATTTCGTAAAACAAACACTTACGTCGAAAGAAATGTAAAGAGAATAAAGGTTGCGTTAAACGGAAGATAGTAATAATAAAAAAATAACAATTTACAAGTTTCCTGTAAATGGAATCATCGTTTTTTTAACAGCATGTTATTCACCTCTCTTTAAAGCTCAAAATACCTTTATTTATTTCACGTTTATAAATAATAAGCAGACAATAATTTAAGTAATCTGGGCCTGTACGAGGCATATAAAATAACAAGCATAACATCATAACGTTTTTTAATTGTACCATTAAAAATTACAATAACAACATTCAACTTAAAATTTTCACATCCTTAAACATCTTTTGGCATTAAGACCTGTCCCAGATCTATAACATATTTATGTATTTTTTTTGTCAATTCACAAACAGAGCTACGTCAATTTCTAACAAACACCCCATTTTGTTGTTTGATTTTTTTTTTTTTTTCGTTCTGGTAAGTTTGCGTCAAAAAGGTAAGTATAAGTAAAAGTACGTGAGAATAAAAAAAATATAGACGATAATACAGTCGACGATCAACTAGTGTACGAAATCGTTTGTTTTCCACTGAGGGGTAAAGGGCAACGTAACGTGGTTCTATTATACTTTTATTATTTATCCGAGGCCAACCGTCCGGCGACGTTCGCTACGATAACAACGATATTTTTTACGTTTTTTTTATCTTTTTGTATATTTGTAAGTGGCTGTACAATTAGTTGAACAATAAGCGTCTTTGATCACAGTCCAAACGGCGTAAATTGTTAACAGCGTACAGCTAGATTCAAGATTGTATCACAAATGTCTTAAAAGATGACACATCTAGGTTTATTATAAGCATCCCGAAGCTGTGTCCACGGGTCATAAACATTCCTTATTGACCTATATACACCGACGCCCACTTTGCATTGTTGTCCCGTCCGTTTTGAACGACTACGTTGCTAAAGTTAACACTTTAAGAATCCTATATATCAGTGATAAATGGTGTTCCTCTTACTTTCTTATATACGTTAGAATTCACGTTTAAACTTAATACATTACCCGTACTTTATCATATATTTATGTATATATAATATGTATATATATAATTCATATGTATATTTAGTTTACAAGTAGGAAAGCTAACTTCATCTGTAACGTGTGGCCCTAATTAGTACTTCGCTTCGGTTAAATGGCAGCGGAAACGCGTGTATGAGTAAGCGGTCTCGATTGTGCCTAAGCTCTCAATCACTCACGACAATGATAAAAATGAACGAAATGTCAAGTCGGATGTCGTCGCCATAAAACCGCATAAATATCTCAAAAAATGATAATCAAAATAAAAACACAATTCACATTTATCGTGTGAGATTCCTAAAAATACTGGAAGTTATGTTACACCTAGCAAGAAGTATCCGAATCATTCGAGATGTGATGCTTAGAATACGTAGTGATTAATGTATGTAGAGTATTAAAATTGAAAGAGTATTAGAATGGTTGTGTTGTACCGTCAAAATTTTTATGTTTCATTTTTGACCATTTTTAATACGGTATATCTAGAAAATAAATGAGGTCGTTTTTTTGTTGTTCGAAAATATACAAGTTCTCTGAAAACGACGTCGTTTAATCTCGAGGTGGGGTGACGACACCGGAATGACGAAACGAATACGATCAGAATACAGAGCTCCTGATGAAGTACGCAAAACGCTATCGTATATAGTAGACATTAGAATTTTCGACTTGGTTTGGTACTGTGATCGCGCGTGTATCATCATCGCGAACAAGTTCGACGTCAAATTGTGTGAACGTCGCGCGGATCGTCGGCTCGGCTCAGCGTCGTACGCTCTCATGTCAGCCACATGAGAGACGACGTGTTTCACCAAGCCTCATGAAGGTCTACCTTCAGTGGTTGCGAGTTGGGGATCTGACTAGAGAATCGCTTTTTCTGAAGGTTAAGTCCCTTTGCCGAGCAATGGTGTTCGGTTGGCTCGGACGAGCAAGTGTGTGTGCCCTTGTCGTCTGCAACGGCCAACCGGGGTGCTTCTGCCGTCGGTTCCGATACGGATTAAAGTGTATAGACGTGTGCGCCCGCGAACGCGCGGCACTCGCCGCGGCCCGCCTCGATTCGGCTAAACTTCACGGTATATTTACACGCGGGAGATAAGTTAGGGTTTTATCTTTTCTAAAATTTTTTTTTGAATTTAATGTTAGTTAAGTCGCGCAGGCCTTAAGTACGCTCTGGTTGGGTCGGCGGGCCGACGCTGGCGCCGCGCTGCCCGCCGTTTTACACAGCTTACTAGCTAAGTCCTCTGGTATCAATTCAAAAAGGTACGTACACGCATGGGTAAAGTACAAAACAAACGCGGCGGGACCCACGCCCCGCACCAATCCTAATTCAACTAGACTAATCGTAAATTTACGGTAATTAGACCTAGAGTATGTAAACAGAATAAGAACGAGGAGAAGCAGTAATTCGACTAATAAATGAAATAAATTCGACGACGGTATATAAGTATATATATGTATGTTTTTGCAATTATGCGACGTTTTTGGTATCTGCAATGGACGTCCTCTCTTTTTAGTGGACGTGTGTGAGCCACTCGCGGATTCGACTCTTCATATTTCCCACACATGTTGAGAAATATGCGAAGACCACATTTTATCGATTCTTGATTTTTAGGTATAAATATATAAATCCATACGCAACCCAATTCATCGCTCAATTCATTTACATTGACAACATTATTTTTCTTATAAAACAATTGATTTAAAATTGTAAGGGAGGTATTGGGTTGCGTCAAAATACTACATTTTCAAATATAACTTATCATGAACCTAATTATAACTAATTCACATCAATAAAAATAAATTACGTTCAAACATATGTATAAAGAAATGAAAATAATTCTAATCTAGAATCTAACATAGAATCGAGAAAGCGTAAGATTGAGAAAGAACCGGCGAGTGAAGGACCGAAGCACGGGAAACAAACCGCTGACGCGTTCGTGTGGTTATTGCCTCTCCTCTAAACATTTGGCAGACGATATCCGATTCTACAACTGTATGTAAATAGTTGAAGTGAAGGCGAGAACGCACATGCCACCTACTGGGGAAGGCCCGGCCACCACCGACGGTGCACAGAGGGATTCCCCTCGATCGATGGAGCGTGGCTTCGCCAGAGTGCACGGTAGCTCGTGCGCGCTCGCCGTGAGTTTCGTGAGGGCGCTGCTCTGGCCGCTCACCTAGGCACCTAATATAAACGCTATGGGCGAGCCGAGGCCGCCCACTTATTGCTAAACATGTTTTTAGTTCGTGTCGTATCATTTTTTTTATTTATATTTATATTTTTATTTATATTTATATATAATGTACTGCTTCACCGTATGAGACACACAATATACACTATTTTTATCCATTTTTATATATGTATATAACAATAACTCAACGAACAAACAATGCGCATGGATGATGCAGTGTCGAGATAGCCGAAACGCTAGTGCTGCTCGAGTGAGAGGATATTTTGGTCTGAGTAAACGGGACGGGAAAACGAACGGGGAGCTAAACAGCCGTCTCTGTGTGGCTGTGAGAGGACAGTCGCTCGACATCTATTTCTGGGATCGTCAACTCGTCTGGGATGTTATCGGCGTACTCAATGGAAGAAGTTTGAGACAACCTCTTAGACAGAGATGTCTGTTTTCGGAGCACCTCGGCAAGGGAAGTATTGCTGTGTTCGCCGTACCGAGCGTCTAGGCCCTGGCGGAAAGCATTAACTACTCGGATCTGAAATAAACAAGAAACAACAAAACAGGGAGAATTAAAAATAAGAACATTCCCGGGAAGTGACGAGCATTTAGCACAGCCCATAGAACAGTACAGAGCCATGTAGTAATCTTGCAATCCTGGCAACCGGTTCTCCACTACTTTTTTTTTAACCGCAATTTTTTTCTTATTAGCTCGTTTTATCCTCCTTTTTTTAAATTACATTCATTTTCTTCCTAAACTACTACTTGCCATATCCCAGTTTACATCTCCATTACAACAACTTCATCAATTCATTTCATCATATTTCCAACATTTATCTATTTAAGTTGTTCAATGTAAATGTAAGCTGTCAGAAGCAAATCGCTTTTCTTTTCGTGCAAGCTCTCTCTCTACGTAATTGCAGCTGCGGAAAATGATAACATTGTTAATATAATTTTATCATAAAATCATCGATTAAGATTAAAACATCATATTGATCTAAACTGAGACGAAATCGATGGTTTTGTGAAGAATTAAATTTAAAATTAATTTAACAATGCCGTCACTTCGAAAAATTTTTGATTCGCTCGCTTTCATATTAATCATTCATGGTTTTTAGATGTTAAAAAATTGAAATCAAAGTATTTAAAGAAAACCAAATAAAACAAAGAAAATTGCAAACATTTATTATTATGGTTTTTGTGGATCAAGCGAGAATATTCAAGTTTTTTTATTGTCTCGTCGCTACGTTAGTTTGTAAATTTTGGATATTCTTACTTGTGATGTTTCTAGAAATAAAACAAGCAAATCCTCTAAAGTATCTAAAACACTTATGACTGACACAAAAATCTAAAGAACCATGAACGTATTTTTAAATTTTTTTGATTAATTTTATTTATTAATGTATAGTGCTCTTCAAAATATTCAATAGTCGTTTATTTTGTTATTATTATTAAAAAGTGGACGTTAAATTCACTCCATTTTTATTAACTTAGTATAAGTTTAGTAGTAAGTAGTGCAAAAGAGAGTTCCAGTTTCTAGAGTTTGTATATATCATCAAAATAACTATATACAATTCCCAATATTGATTCCATGAATTAAAATTAATATTAAACAATTGTGTGTGCATGTTTAGGTGTGTCTATGCTAATTTCTAACTGTTATTATCTATATAAATTATTGAATCTAACTCAAACTAAGAATCTATACAAGATCATTATTAACTGGCAGTATAAGAAAGTCGTGTTTTGAAATACATTTTTAAAACAGCAGTGTAATTCGTGTTAAAATGAATAATAAAGCGAATAGTAATGGGTGGAAGCGAAAATAATATTATGTACAACGGGTTATGATGGGATTAATGTGTTATGTACAAGTAAAAGGAGCAGT